ATTTTTTGGTTTGTGTTATTTAAAAAAAAAAAAAAAAGATGACCAAGACCAGCTCTAAATTTCACCCAGCAAACTGGCGACCCAAACGAGAGACTCATTCTGCTCTCTGATTGGATCATCTACTTGAAAACTGTAAACATAATTATTATTACATCATGTCCATTGTTTAGGTATATCTTATGAACCTGCTCAGCTCTCCTGTAAATCAACCTGGTACAATGCATCTCTCCTTTTGGAAAATGTTTATTGTACACTGTCCCGGTAAAAAATAAAAAACATACCTTTAGTCCAACAAGGTTCATTTGGTCTTCTGATTCTATAAAGTGTTTTTAAGATCGTTGTGGGATATTTTTCTCTCACAGTGGTCATGTGATGAGTGGATGTGTCTTGTCAACTTTTTTTAGACTGTTTTTGACTTATTCTTCTTCATGACCCAGACTTTCAAAAGCCCTGGTTCATGGTCCCTGGGAGCTAACAGTTTTAACGCAAGGAACGGAAAAAACCACTTTTTTAGTACCTGGCAGTTGATGAATAGAAGTTAGAGACGACATTGATAGACATAAGTTTCTCAAGTAAATCTAAATATAACTGACTATTGCCCACTTTTGCACTGGTTTACCTCCACCCCATGTGTTCATACAGGATTCCCCAGATGGTCTCCTGGCTGCCCCAAAGCCCACCTTGTATATGTTGTATATTTGTTCAGACAAAAATGCAGATTTGAAGCACTTTTCCTCTTAACAAGAGCTTTGCCGGGATCCCGCTCCAGCCGTGAGTTACTTCTAATGTGTGATCTTTGGCCTTCTCTGTAGATTCTTGAGCGTCTCCCTGTCACAGCGGCAACACCAGCGGCTCGTATTATTACACACTGAAATCTCGCTCAAGGCCAGACCGGGGGCGGCACACAACCAGCTCGAAAGAACGAAAGAAATGTACAAGTGGAGGTGGACGGCCCGAGTTAACCTGTAGCATGAAAAATATCAACGATTTCATAACAGCAAGGTTTTAGGGCTGGTGCTCGTATGAAATTTCCCCACTGTGGGATGGATAAAGGATCTCTTCATTTCCATCTTGTTGCCTGGATAGAATTGAATGTATTGTATTTATTTGATCTGTGAGTATGCAATAAACATTCGTAATGTCAATAGCAATGACTATAGTCCCTGGACAGGTCGACGACAACACAGTATAATTACAATAAAACTGATTGAAAGTCCATAAAATCTGTCTTTTGTTCTGTTGTCTTAATAACACTTTCATTTAGAGACAGTCACTTCATTCAGGGGTCAAAGTGATTCTCTGTTTGTCTATGAGAAATATACTTAAATCCATAGGTTATATTTATTCTATTTTTTTTTATTTAGACTTTATTAAGGACTCACATGCAAGCACAGGATCCATAGCTAAGAATAATGAAATGAACCAAATCTTCAATCGCCCAGTGAACAACTGATCCCATTTTTGGAGGTGATCCCTGTCAGTGTCTGGATGCAGAATTTCTTTGAGGAATGGAACTGTGCCTCTTGGCGGTGGTCTGCGCTCTACTAGTGTTTTTGTTTTGTTTTAGTTGTTCTGTGTCAGCCCCAGTTTAAAGCAGAGATTGACCGTATTAGATTATATTTTAATAATGCATTGGTTTTATATAAAAAATACACCACATGTGTGGTGTTATTCATTCACCCTGTACACTGTATACTGGGTGGTGGTGATAAACTAATTGTGGCCACAGCTGCCCTGGGGCAAACGTACAAATCCAAAATCGCTCAACATATTTCAGATTTGCTCACAGACTTTGGTAATTGACACCAATATTTTGTTTAGCCCAAATCCTACTGATAAATGGAAAAACAAACGGTATTGATGCCTGTATGATTTTTGTTAAATGCAGATGACATTTTTTGGTTGTAGTTGTAGTTTTTTGTTATGAATTGTCGTAGCCATCTGTCATGAGTCGTCAGGCCTTGAAATAATGCACATAAAGACAAGTATATATTTTCAAAAAGATCGGTAAAGTAAAGTCGTTTACTTAATGCCAATACATTTATCATATACTCACAATAGCAAGGCTAACCTCTTAGTTTGTTCAATATCATTTCTTATCAGCTCATAATTTACTTTAGCCTTATCAAAATATTCAGACCCATAGAACCCATCGTGTCCAGCTCCTATGTAGTTAAAGATTTGTCTGTCCCTCTGCTCCCATTTTTGACTTCAATGGCCATGATCTCATACCATTGTGCATTTTCAGAATACATTTAACATAACTAGATCACGACGGAATACACATTGACCACTATCTCTTTCCTCTCTGCTTTCACTCGCTGAAGGAAACGGCCGTATTCTATGACCTACCTTTAAACTACAGTAATTACACAGGCAGACAGAGGCCGTCCGACGCAAAGGTATGCAGCTCTGTATGGAACTCCGGGCAAAAGGCTGCTTTATATTTAGCCGGAATAAATGTAGATGCTCCAGGCTAACAACTGGAACCAATGCACCGCTCCCTATGTCTGATTTGTTCAAAGAGGCCCTAAAACTGTGGAAAATTGAGGTAACTGGAAAGTTATGTTAAATGACAGTAATATTCAGGAAACATTTTTCAGTTCACACTTCACTTGCTCCGTACCGCGTGGTGGGATGACATTCCTTCATTTGCCTGCTGCTTCCTGCTATGGAGAGTATTCGCAGGTGGAGAGAGGGAAATCGGCCCGCCATTTCTCCCCTTTGAGCATATGATACAAATGTTTGGAATTCCAGGGCAGTGCTGTAGAGTTGTCAGTGAATGTGCGGCACTAGGCCAGGGCTTGTTGGCAGCTGATTAGACATAGCCTTTCAAGAAATGTTATAAGCAAGAGAAACCGTGCACCTCACCTCCCATCCTGATGCCGTTGAGCTATTTCAGAGATTTTGCACATCTGTAAGCACTTGTATCGCCAAAGATGTTGTAGCGGAGTTTGTTATGCGGGAATTTACACACTTCATGTGCACGGTTTTGCTTTGTAGTGATGTAGAGGAGGCCTGAGACAAGTTCGATGCATGGAAGGGGGTGGGGCTTTACGTTAAGGAAACACACAACCATTCAATTCAATTCAATTTATTTTTGTATAGATCTGAATCACAACAGCAGTCGTCTAAGAGGACTTTACAAAAATGTAGATTCACCAACAAAAAATCTGAATTCTGAACATTGTAAAGCGCTTTGGGTGACTTTGGTCTGTAAAATGGACTGTAAAAATAGACATTACTTACCAATGGTACACATAGGAGCCATTTGTCCATAGGGGACGGATGACCAAAGTTTATAAATGTTCATAAATGCCCTAGATCATCTCCACTGTCCTTAGACCCTCAGACTATTAACAAGGAATCACTTTAAAACCCAGTGAGAAAACTCAGGGAAGCCAACATTGAGAGAGGAATCCACATATAGACGAACAGGCTATAGATCCAGGACTCAGACTGTAGAACGAGGACCGAGGAAGGGCGGTGCAGCCCATGAGTCCGGGGTGGGGGCAGACTTTCACACTTTCTTTTTTTACCCAGCGGCACAAGGGCACACATATACTGTACATATACACACAGGTCCTCGACAACAAAGAAAAAAAAACAATGCACAAACAAACCAAGATAAGATAAACTTTATTGATCTCACAATGTAAAAAACATGTCATATTTGGCAAACATGTTACAAAGGTTAAAAATATAGTCTCGATATTTTACGTACAATAAGAACAAAGTGACTATAGCAGATACTGTTTGATTCTCTGATCTGTTATTGGTGAATGGACAACTTTGTAAAGTCTGCTGTTGTGATTTTGGGCTGATTTGGGGCCCTAATTCTGTGGGACATTGAGTCAGGGGGCTCCCATCGTACAGCAACTATCTACTGTAACAAACCGTTTACTTTGTCCTGCTCAGTCCAATTTCAGTGAGATTACCTTCAGTTGGATGTTAATGGGCGTCAAACCAAGTACAGGTATGTCAGGGGTGAGAATGGAACCCCGACTCACAGATCAGGCAACACACACACACACTGTACCAACTGAGCAAATCTAGAGAGAAATTTCTTTATATACAACACAAAACTTGCAATATTATCCAGTGACAGTGGAGCGTAGTTTGAAAATAATCATTTATGTTGCTGTAAGTGCTATTTTGAACATTTGCTGCTTTGTAAACATTACACAGTGAGGGATCAGAGAAAAGTATAAGCCTGAATATGGCCATTCATTTGTAATGGAAGCTCTAAACAGGAACCTCTCCCAGGACCAGCTCACAACAAATCATACAACAACAGCATTGTATCTACACTGGCATTTAGCCGGAGAAAAGTTTTATGTATATATCATTACGATAAGGTCACATATTTGGTTGCACTGTTTTTCTGCCTCATGTTTTTGGATCAGATCAAGGTCATTATGCAACGTGCAAACATCAATTATATATAATATCAATATATCTAATCTAGCATCTAAGTAAAACAGATGTTACCCAGATGTTCTTCTTGTATGGTGTTCAATAATTCTACAGCGTTGACATATTTAAAAGCCTCAATAGCTTTTATAGGCACTGAAAAATAAAGTATGGCTCAACTATTTTGAGTGTCAGTTCAGGTGAAAGTTACTTTTAAATGTTTGTCTTTACTGCAAGTGATATATCTGCAACATCTCTGCAGTGCTCAGGGGTAATTAGCCAGTACTGCACTTGTTATTGACAAGTTCTATTAAGGACAATTTAGAAACAAACTGTTTGAATAAATGAAATGTATATTTTAATTAGGCTATTATTGTCTAGAAAGCCTATTGCAAACGAGCTTAGATGAAGCTGCCCTGCGCGGCTCACAGTGTGTGCAGTGAGCTCAGAGCAGACCACAAGGCTGTCGGGGGTGTGCCTACAGTCACCGTCTCTATATATTCACATGTTGTGTCCAGTGGCTTTACGTGAATCACCGACAGAATCACACCACTTTGTTCCTCTGCTCTCAGCTCTAGTGCGCCACCATGCCCTGCTGCTTTTGCGCACTGCTCCTCGTCTACTTTCTGGCGTCGTTCTCTCGGAGGTCAAGTGCGGTGGGGCCGGTAATCCGCTGTGAGCCATGCGGCCTGGTGGCTCGGCTCCTCTGCAAACCTCTGCCCAAAGACTGCGCAGAGAGAGTGCGGGAGCCCGGCTGCGGCTGCTGCGTGACGTGCGCGCTGAGCTTCGGGCAGCCGTGCGGGGTGTACTCGGGGAAGTGTGGCACAGGGCTCAGCTGCCAGCCCCAGCCCGGGGAGACCAAGCCTCTCCAAGCGCTGCTGGAGGGACGCGGCATCTGCGCCAACGCCACAAGCAAACGCCCGGGTACCAGAGTCAGTGCACCCGTCAACGAGCTGCCAGGTAGGACTGCTGCAGGTGCGTGTGTGAGAGAAGAGCAGATTCTACAGTGATTAAGGCCATGGCACATGGACGCCTCTGTGTGGACTGAGCTGCATTTACCTGATGCATGTTTTACAAACATCCAACTGTGACCGGGGGAAAGTAGCATCATAGTTAATGACACAGTGTGGTTTTACTGCCATAAATCACATGTGGAAATACTGTGGGACATGTAATAATGATATATACAATATAAGACCAGATTAGATATTATTTTAGTTTGAAACGTGATGAAGGATTAATGTGGTTTTAGTGTTATTGTTGACTATAAACTGCAATCTGAAAACGTATTGAATAAGATGTGATCTTACTCAGAATAAAAACAATGTACTTAAATCTTCACGACATTCATCTTGGGACTTCACTTTGACTGAAAATATGTGTTTCTCTTTTTCAGATAAAGTGCATGAATAACATGTTTTTTTCTTTTTTGTCAGAACCCATTGAGCCTCAAGTAGAAGACAGGAATACCACAAGCTTAGGCCTCCAGACCACATACAGCACCCACAGACCCCTGGCACCCATGGGACCTCAGCTTCACCCCTTCTCCTCTGCCAAGTCTGAGATGTTACGACAGGAGCAGCACAAGCGAATGCAGAGCTTCAAATTAGAGGCGCTGGCAGGGCCGCTCATCACAGACCAGCAGAACTTCTCTCTGGAGAGCAAACAGCAGCTGGAGTTTGTAAGTGAACCACCAGCAGCTCTGCTCTGTGTTTTGGTGCTGCTGCTCCGGGTGGTAGATGTTTTGGGGCAGCACTGCTGGCACTTGGCTCTGGCCTGGTTGCGCATTAGTATGGCATGACAGCGTGTGGTGCCATGGCTCTGCGGCTGACCGGGTCAGGCGCTTGTTTGGCCACAAGGCGTCCGCATGCCGGCCGTACCTAGAGCCAGCAGTGATGGATTGGCCCATGTGAGTGCATATTGGGAAGCCCTGCTGCTATTTTGAACCTGTCTTTGTCCATAAGAGTGAGCACACACGAGTGACTGTGGCTTTGATTAGTGACTTGAGAACTGGGAGTTAAGGACCAGGCTGTTGGCTTTTTCTTTGAGCTTCTTTTCACTTCGCTTTGTGTCAAGTGTAAGACTCTTAAGCAGCTTTAGAAAAACTGTTAAGCCTCTAGAAGTGAGTCAGAGGAATTTATTTTCATCTTTCCTCTTTCATGTGGCAGATGCCATTGTTTTAGGCTTCAGAATGAGCTGCAGCGTGAGTCAGATTTGCTAATGTCCACTTATAGAGCCGCCAGTTTAGCCTTGTCACGGCTAAATGAGCACCGCGAGCCAACCGCAAGCTGTCAAGTGTGTAAACGAGATGTGTTAAGTAAACGCAGCTAATGACTCTGAGCATGTCTGCTTTCTCTCATGTGTAGGGTCCCTGTCGCCGGGAGATCGAGAGCATTCTCAGCAGCCTCAAGATTACTGACAATCTCAACCCCAGAGGTTTCCGCATACCAAACTGTGACAAGAAGGGCTTCTATAAGAGAAAGCAGGTAAACCACTCACTCAGACTGGCCTCAATGGCACACTTTTACCACTGTGCAAAGAAAGAGGCAGCTCCTCTGGGGCTGATGTATGTCTGTAGCTCCAACACACTACTTTTACAGAGGCATGGGCCAATTTTTCTTTGACACAAACATTTCTCTTGATCTAAACCATATTACAACTGTTTCACTGTTGTCGTGCCATAGTTATTCTTTGACAGGAAGGCGAGTCTTTAGTAGTTTGTGACTTTGCCTTCTTGGATCAGTCAGTAGTGTTATTTCAGTGCATGTGTGAGCCTGACAAGCCACACTGAGTTTTATGTGTTTGTTATAATGATAAAATTATATTAACAAATCATAGTGGTATAACAAGAAAAAACTGGTTGCACATTACTTAACAGCAGAATAATAACATGGAAATAGCAGTAAAGTAAGTAAAGTAAATGTCAATATGGTAATTCACCGGGGATTTCATGGTTATATGATTCCTAACTCTAACACAATAATATCCCGTTTGCCATCTCATAACTGTTCTTGTGTTGCAATTAAAAGCAAACTACCACCAAAATCAATTCATTGCATTTTAATTACTTACTCAACGTTAGAGAGTTTTATGTTATCTGTCATTTCCTGGTTGATACACATAATATTGGGCAACGTCACTCAGGGATTTTGGCACGATTGAAACAGGTCTGCTGCTTGTTATTGTAGCTGGTGCTGGTAAAGTCTTTGTTGTGATGACGTTTAGAAGGAAAGCACAAGTGGCAATTTTCAACTCCAAAGTCGGCCAACTCATTTCTGTTCTTTAATGGCTTTAGGTCAATATTGATATTTAATATAATATAATGACTTTGAAGGAGGGAAAAGCATTGCAGGTGTGTTTTTTACTGATAAAGAGACAAAAGTTACAGAAAACTTGAAACTTGAAAATGAAATATTGTTCTCTTTAATAATACTGTAGGTCTCAAAATCTCAAAAGACAATGTTCTAGAGTTTGTATACTTTTTAACCTACAGAAAGTTACAAACTGTTCCTTTAAAAACGAATTAATTTAATTTAATTTAATTTAATTACAAGGGCAAACAGTGGTGTTGAAATGTTAATTGCATAGACCGTGATCCCAGACCCTAAAAATAGAATCCTAGCTCTAACCCGAGAGAACGAAGGCGTCTGACCCTGATTTTCCCAGCGCTGGTATTGCCCAGTGAAATGAAAGAGCACACAGTTGTTATAATTTGGTTAATGAGTCGATAATCATTTTTATATACTCATTATTTTATCAACATAGGTGGCTTTGACTTTGATATTCAAGCAAGATTAAACTAAAAACTACTGTTTGTTTGTGTTGAATATTTTAGTGATTTTTTTCAGTGATTTGAAATTTAGATTTCGAATATAATTTTGGCCAGGTACGTAATCATATACATTTTATCACGCCCAATAAGTCACAACTTGAATTAAAATCTGTCTAGAAACCAGAAATCTATTGCTTTTACAGACTCAAGAAAATTCTCCTTTGAATTGGCCAATTTTGTGTTAAAAAATATGCTCAATTAAAGATTTTAACTACAATTTTGATATGGAAAAATGACCAGGACTGTACTTATTATACTGTATAAGTATGTAGAAAAAAAAAATCACTGAAGTATTTAATCAAACAACACAAGAACATACAGTAGTAAACATGTGAATTCACAGTTGGATCTGGCTTGAATATAAAAGTAATAGCTCCCTATGTTCCCAGTTTTGCATTTTTCACGTAGAAATTCTAAAACAATGAGTCTTTAAACCTTTTTTATTGCTAGATTGAAAGTATAAAGATAAAAACCACCACGCATTGATGACTAGTTTTTGCAAAGTACTCGGCCATTGTATTGTAAAAATCATAGCCTTGGCCTTTTTATTCTCCCTTTCTGTTGTAAAAGTAGGATAAAGTGGGCAAGCAGTAGTTTTTATGCACCCCGACTGGTGCTCTGTCTTCAACTGAAGTTCCCCACGGATAAATAAAGTTATTTGAATTGAATCGAGCATATGGCTACAGCCCATAGAGCCCCAGTGCTTCTGAACGCAGCAAAAGCCAAATTTTTTTTTTTTTCTTTTTCCCCCAGCGTTACTCGAGTGTATCCTGGAGCTTCCTCAATTACACAGTTGTGCTTGTCCTGGTGTCTCCTTATTAGAGCCTCGTCACCAGTGAGGTCGTCTGGCCGTCGTTACCGTGGTGACGCTTGGCCGGTTAACGGGAACCCTCCCAGCGAGACAGACGTCAAGGTGGCCGCGGCACCCAACGCGCTCGCCTCATAATTACCGGACTGAGAGCGGCCCGCGCCCAAAAATAGAGCGAGGCAGTCGTTCCCCCGCGCTTACATGGTTCACCCACGATTGGTTTGTAATAAATGAGTGGTTCTCCGGCGTTCATATGGAGGCATTTAGGCTCCTGCGCCACTGCATCACTGAAAGCAGGCTTCCTTATTACACACTAGCACGGCCGCCTGCTCTAAGTGTTCTCCTTGACCTGCAATCATCCCATAACCAGCTTCACAACGCCAGCTTCATTGTCTTTGTTTACATAGAACAGGCCCAGTGTTCTTTGTGGAGCCCTGGGGCAGTAAAAAAGAGTAGACATTTCACTTTGCTCTGTGTAATTTGGACTTTTGTCTGATGGTTCGTAGTGAAAAGAAACATTCCTTGTTAATAAGTGAAAATATATGGACCGCAAAAGCCTGGTTTCATGCACAGATTGTACTTTAATGGACTTTTCCTGCAGGACAATTTGTACTAGTATTATTATTTGCTTTGAGTTACAACCACAGTGAATTACAAAAGGTACATTGAACCACAAATTGAAACAAAGTCTGCACATATAGGGTAAAGGAGGGGGTTCTCCGCTGCTGATAAATTTGGCCAGCTTCTAGAGTGATTAGCCCCTGACTCCTGTGCTCAGCAGCCTTAGCTCAAATTGAATGGCTGCATGTTTTACTAGAGTGGAGGTTGACCTTTAGTAAAATTGGCAGTAAAATAACAGCCCTTGGGTAGCTCCACAGACTCTGTAAGTCATTTGTAGTACCCATAATTTGGACCTGTGGGGTATAATCAGTAACAGATGATTCGTACTGGCCACCAGCTTCTGAAAATAGAATATGGGTTCTGAGTTGTTCACAAACGGCACTAAGCAAATATTTTAGCAGGTTTCTGTTTACCTTAAAGGGCTCTATATGTGTGTGCAACACGTGGTACGCCATAAAAGCAGCTTCAAATACCACAGCAGTGCTGCATAGCCAGGAGTCAGCACAATCTCACCATTAAGGCCTCTTAACTGTTGCTCAGCTCCATTGAGTTTTGTTGCTGATTTGGCCAAGCTGTTTTAACCCTCACCTCCCTGTGTCTTTCCTCTTGTGCTTGCAGTGCCGCCCGTCCAAAGGCAGAAAGCGTGGCTTGTGTTGGGCTGTGGACAAATACGGGCAGCCTTTGCCGGGAGACGCCCAGTATTACAACTCCGAGAGCCAGTAGGAGCGGGGCAAGACCAAGGGAGTGGAGTGCAAGCAGAATGAACTGTAAACAAATGGAGACACTGAGGATATTGGAGAGAGGTCAAGAGATGGCTCCAGTCGATATGTGGAGGTTTGCTCTTTGGACCAATGGCTGCAGGAGCCTCTGAGGAAGAGTGAAGGAGCAGAGGAACACTGTCCTCTCGCAGACTCTTCAGTTCTCTGCAAGGACTGAATCTTTTAAATAAGCTATTTGTGTTGTAAGTCAGGCAAAGAGGACATTATTTTATAATGAACGATCAATGATGAATATCATTGATTCTGACATGAAAACGCACAAGCTTGTGTCCAGAGGGTGATGTGTAGTCACACTCTGTATACTTGTTAAGAATGCATTTAGCCGTGAGAATGTGCATTGCATTTCCAGAACACACATACATCTTTATATTATCTCTCAGTTCTTTTTTAAAACTCGTTGCCTTTTGCAACTGTGCAGCTCAGACCACAGAGTATATTAAGCTTTTTGAGCCGCAGATACAAGCACATTGCCCTTCTTTGTAATGTGGTCATTGCCATAATAATGTCCATGGATTTAAGCTGATCTCTATGTTCACAAACTCTGTCCAGTCACAGTGGGATAGTTCTGTCACTTTTAACTTATGCTGTTGTAAAATGCTACCACCAGAGGACTATTTTTACTTAATAAAGGCAATATGAAATAATCTACTGTACATGTTGCATGTTGTGGTAACGGTGTTAGAAATATCATATGGAGTGATTACAGTACAACAGTACAACAGAGTTGAGAAACAGTATATTCTGTGTATAAGTAAACAATCAAAAACAATCACAGTTTGATCATGTGAATGCATTTTAATGAGATGCAGAGGTAAAACCATAAATATAACTCATCAACAATTCATCTGCAGCAAGTATTCCACTGCCCGCTTTCTGACGCCGATCCGAAAAATAACAATAACTCGACACAGATAACCGTTACAACATAATAAATATTAGATAGCAGCAGTAAAACAACACATATAAGGCATGAGAGAGCTGCTGTAGCCCGGAGGAGCAGAGGGAAGCAGAGGTAGACAAACGCAGACCTCAGCGCGGCCTGATGAGCGCTGATATGTTTGTGCTGGGCCGCTGTACACATACCTGCGGCCATATAAGTATTTCCCCCGTAGCCATTGAGGAAACGCCAATGGAGATACATTCAGACAATGTCAACAGATTGAATGAATGAGCAGCTGTGTTGTTTCGTGAATGAACGAATACATGTGAAAAAAAAAAAAAAAAGCCATCCAGGACACTCTGAACTGGGCTTGGCAAGAGGTGCTGACCTGCGGTTTTTGAGCAATGGAGTTATTTAGACGGAAACACAAATGTATACAGTGTCGCCCTATTTACAATGTTAAAAAATAGACAAACATATAAAACAAATCTAAAAACGACAAAAACGGCTGATGCTGGTAATATACACGTGAATAAATAAAGCTGGAAGCATACGTTATGTGCATAGTATCAAAGAGAGGAAGAGGAGGAGGAGGAGGATGATGCCGGGAGGGGGGGGGGTTGAGTTCATGTGATCATCTAGAGGACGGTGATCTCCTGCTGGCATTCAGAGTCTCCGAGGAGGTCGGCGGAACCCGGGATCTTCTTCCCGTTCCAGGAGGACACGCACCAGCAGCGAGCCGGGGGGCCGACAAGGGACGACTCGCACTGAAAGAATGAAAACGCGATCATGATCAGTCGTATTCGTTACAGCTAAAAGAACGTTTATTCGTCCTACAGTGGGAAAATTTTGATTTGCATATTCACATAGTGGTAAGAGGACACAAAATATACAATATAAGTATAACTCTAATGCTTCATAAGAGCAGCAAGTCAATGTCAATATGTGTATAATATAGTGTCAATACTGCAAAAAGTGATGAAAAATCGTCCAAAAGTCCAACATTTCTCAAATTTGGCAACGTGTATTTTAATTTTAGAACATTTGAACCTTAAAACAAGATTTACCATTGAGACAAGCAAAATTGTCTTGTTTATTTTTAAAGTGCAGTGTTAAGTAAGTAGTAAGTAAGTAAGTTTTTATTTATATACCGCCTTTTCACTGCAGATATGAGTCTCAAAGCGGTTTACAATTGTTAATTATGGGCATTTGTCTCTCACTCCACAGAGAGATGGGAGGGGCGGTTAAAAAATCTAAATAGTAGATAAAGTGACTTTCAATGGACACAAGTTGCAGTACAGCACAAGATTTCAGTATTAACTAGTTACAGATGAGATGACATCAGGCTCAGCAGTTCTCATTGTACAGTCTGACAGCAGCAGGAAGGAAGGACCCGCTGCTGTCAGACTGTACAATGAGAACAAAAATAATAAATCGGTTTTATGTCACGCTTTCCAAAAGAAGTCAAAGATAATATTACTGCTAAATGGAGTTGCAATCTGCTGGTCTTGGTAGAACTATAATCAAACTTGTGGACAATATGACGATTGTGTCCTTTATCATTTGTACTTCTATGTCGGACTATTTCCTGGATCCATCATTCCTCTGTGTTCCCACAAAAAAGTCAGGCACTGCTTGACATTATGAAACAATTATTAAAAGACAGACTGACAAATTAATAATAATAAAAATAACTATTATTTTATTTGTATCCAGTTTTAAACCTAATTAGCTAATTGTCATTTAAAATTCATGTCACAAGCTCTAAAATAATTTGGTCCTATCAAAGTTTTCACATTCATGTATTTGGGGCTCTTTCCACGTTTTTAGCTTTTTTATCTGTCAAATTCGTTTTTTTCAGGCAGGACCACCCTCACTCAGCCAATCAGTGGTCAGCCCATAGAGTCAAATAGTGACTCACATGGCTAGGGTTGCCAACTTGAGAACAAAAAAATAAGGGACACCATTTGGGTGGATCGGGTTGAGCACTTTTTAGTCCTAATTTCAGTCTACACAGTAATCATGGAATTTCACAATCACAGTTTTTAGATTGTAATTTATTGACTACATATAAAAAAAAAATCCTTAGTCAAAAATGAAATTGAATAAATAGGTGGAACTCTGGCTGGTTAAGGACTTAATGCATTGTTATTAGTAATATAAAAAAATTAAAAAATATAAAAAAGACAAATACTGTAACATACATTATTTATGAATGTTACAGTAAAGACCGATTTCTGTAAAAGCAGATAAAAAAAGAAAAACATATGTATTCATTAAAAACTCACAAATCAGTCTGTAGTAGTTAGATATGGTCATCATTATTTATATTGTCTGAGTTTTGTGCAGGTTTGTGGCTTCAGTAAAAGCTATTGTTCGTTTACAAAGCTGGTCTGGATATTTGTTGACGGTCCCTAAGTGCTTTTCTCGGCGCTTGCAGTGCATTGGATTCAGAGGATTTCTCTGCATTAAAACAGCGCATTGAATTTGTAAAACATAGAGATGATCATTTTAGCACAATTACTTTTGTTTAACAAAGTAGCTTTTGTGAGCTATTGACCGCGGAAGTCCGAATTTGGGAAAATGACGCTACTTTACCAAAGTTCTGACGTGATGGTGCTGCGGGCACGGCCCACGCTGGCGATTGTCAACATTAAACCAACGTCTGAGATCAAGCCTACGCCCCTTTGACACTGATTGGCCGAAAGGTAGATGCTTCAACTGTGATCATTACTGTGTGTGTGTGACATGCAGTGAGTGAGTGATGCATTTGAGGTGGCTCTGAAAATACGGGACAAAAGCCGTCCCGTATCAGTTCAATACGGGACGCACATAGTTTTTCTATAATACGGGACAATTCCGTATTTCAAGGGACGGTTGGCAACCCTACACATGGCTCTTTTTAAAACAAGTATATAAAAAAAATAGGCAAAATATAATATATATGTTTTCTTATACAAGAGAAAGACAGCAGAGTGGTCTGATTTGTTCGCAACATTTGAACAGCCCGTCATCTTTACGAAGGAAGAAGTTAGGTACCCCAGCTTTAATCAGTATCTATTATAACACAAAAATGCAAAAGATGTCCAGATAAAACTGCCGGTAGCCTCCACTCACCTGCTTGCCCTTGTAGAATCCGTGCTTGTCACAGTTGGGCAGGTAGAAGGTGGTGAACTTCTCCCCCAGTGTTTGTTGAGAGTTTGCGATAGTGTCCAGTGCGGTGTGTAGCTCTGTGTGGCACGGGCCCTGAGGCAAAGGGAGAGGAGACAAGATAAGACCACATTATCCTCATGTTATCCACAGCAAGTGCGCCCTCTGCTGGAAGAGCGCTGTACCGACTGACTGACTGACGGACGCGGTCTGTATCAGGGGTGCCCAAACTATTTTTACTCAACTGTAATAGGGCACTGTCCGGTTTCCGAAATGTGCTAAAAATAGCTCAGATGACTGCGCATGCGCGCATGTTTCGGACAAACATTGTGTACGACTCGTTGAGTTCTACTGTGTTCTCCTCATACGCGTGTGTATTTATTTGGGCTAAATCATTGAATCATGGTGACAACAAAACACTGCAGTTATGGTGCTTGTCGGAGCGATTTCAGATACTCTGAAAAGGACTATATGAAAGTAACATTCAACCCGTTCGTTAAACCACAACATCGGACCAGACCAGGACCAGACCAGGACCAGATCAGACCAGGTGGGTGCTTGTGGTCGGCAGAATTTCTCTCATGAAAAGGTTAAAAAGGGCACATGTTTTTTCAAAACACTTCGCTGGACCAACTGTGGAGTATCCAGATCCAGTCCTAGCTACGTTTAGCTGGGACTGGATCTGGACCGCTGTATCAGGTCCGTCTGAGCTCTTCTGAATGTAGTTAGCACAAACTTTCTCTTTACACCATTTACCCCCATCAATCCATATTAGTATTGTTTGTCCTAATCCAGAAAGTATACAATTCTCACACCTGAAGAAAGATGAGAGGGATTTTTTTCAACTTTGTGTCTGCTTATTATACGGCTTTGTACCAATTGAACACACAAAATAAACGTCATTCACTACTCATGCCGAAAGGTTTATTTAATGAGTGCAAAGAAAATAGTTCCCAAAGGTTTTCCCGTGGCAGGCGAGTTACAGTGAGGATAGTTAACCTAAAAGCGATCGCTTTAGTCGCATTAAAAAAGTATTTTTGTCATGAAAACCTGAACAGTTAATTCTGAAAACCTCCGTGCACTTGTGTTATGAATGTGTATAATGTATTCTCCCATTAACATTTAAATGTGTTGATTGATTGTCATTTGCGTTTACTGAGTGTGGCTAGCTCTGATAGTTTCTCTCAGAGACAGTGGCGTAACCCGTTGTGATCATGGATTTATTATAATATCAGCTGACTGTAGCTAACTAATGATCAAACTAATTACAAAGTGGATAGTGCAAAAACAACTTGATAAATGGAAGTTAATCACAGCAAAACAAACAAAGAAGGCGCTAGCATTGCAATTTAAATGACTAGATAATGTTAGCATAATCCTCACCATTACCTTTTTATCAAATCAAACTTTCTACCAGTTACTGGAAGACCACGACATTCAAGCCAACGTTATAATTGGTCTACACTATGATCCCTGATGGTTTGATGGTGGAATTTTGCCCCTGGTATATCATTTTCGTCTAAAGTGACAAGAGGTATTTGATTCATTTCGGCAGTGTTTGTCCGAAACATGTGGGCGGGAGTTGACAGGCGGCGGGGGCGTGTCTTAGTGACGTCATTTAGATAGTTCGCTATACATAGAAGCAAGAATCTAACCTGTTCCTTTAGCTTAAAACCCCTTTATTTTTTATTTTGTCTAAAAAATTCCGAAGCAATGCCCTTGTGGATTGTTTTAAAGATCATAGTCTACATTTCTGTGTTTTTATTATATATTAATGTATCACTTTTGGTGTATTATGGAGGGATTTTGACCAAGAATTACTTTTATTTTATTTAACTTTGGATTTAACTTGCACACTGGACCAAATGGAAGAAAGGATGGGTGTCACTGAACTGGGACAGCAATTGTTTAGGGAAATTGGTGTATATAACCATTCCTAATTTTGGTTTCAATGATTAGAATAGTATAAATTATTTGGAAGTTTTTTTTTTTTTTTTTTTTTAGAAAATCAGTTTGAAATAACATAAAACAGGCCATGGCAGCCCAAAACCTATGTCCATCAATGCCTGCAACTTAACAGTAATAATTGAGAATCGTTTGGGGGTCATTAAAATATATCATTATAGTATAAATGTATATTTTCTACTCTGTATATGTTTATGCCGGAGTGTGTAATCACCTGCTGCACCAGTTTGTTGCGGATGGCGTTGACTTTGGCCTTGATGCTCTCCTGTCCCTCTGCGGTGTCGGGCTGGTCCAGGGGCAGGTTCAGACCCAGGCGGTACTGCAGGGAGTCATGGTCCACCGCTGTTTCAACTGTAAGAGGCAAAAGTTTACTATCAAATATGATCAAACATCCATGGATGATAAGCCTGTAGTATATATTAGCAGACAAAGTTAATGTTCGGTAAAGTTCATAATATTTCACAAAAGAAATGTCTGATCCAATCTCCTTATCTCCATTTTCATTTGTATCAATCTGTTTTATAAGAAGTAGTTCCGAAGACTAACTTTTTCATGAACTGACTCATACTAAAAAAAATTCCTTGTAAACTAAAATAAAATACCTAAAAACACCACCAACTATCACAGCAGTATAAAATGCCTGTACCTTGCTCCAGCTGCTCCGTGCAGACCCCCTGTCCTCGGGTCAGGGCGTGGAGGGGTCTAGCCTCCCCTGGTTTGGGGGTGCAGCGCAGGCCGTCTCCGCAGTGGGCAGTGTGGACCCCGCAGGAGGCCCCTCTCTCCAGGGCGCAGGCCATGCAGCAGCCGCAGCCGGGCTCCCTCAGCACCTGCCCACACCCCGCGGGCACCACCGGGCACTGGCTCAGCTTCTCCGTGGTACAAGCGGCACAGCGGATGGGCTCTGGTCCAATCACAGGAGACGACCTCGCTACCCCCAAAACGGCCAGCATTACAAAAACGTTATCCATCATCATTCTTCTTCGTATTATTATAGTAGCTACTTTCAAGGTTCTTCTTATGGGTCAGTGGCTCACTTCTTATATACGCCGCTTCTACACGACGTTAATGATTGACAATGAGTTAAATGTGAGTAAAATATGTTTTGCTTTGAACGTTGGATGGCCCCATTCCGCGTGCGTATATCCGGGTTCATGGAGTCTGCGGTCAATATTGACTCAGGGACATTAAGTGATTTTTACATCAAAACAAGTGTGGTTTAAGCCCAGTGTATGAACAAGCCCAACTATCTTTGGCACACAAAAACAGATCAATCAGCAATAAATCTAGATGATATAGGTCGGATTTGGGATTTTAAAGTAAACGCTGTAATGTTTTATTGTTGCATTTGATCCATGTTTGTGTAATCTTATCAGGCAGACTGAGGGTTGCATGAGGCCCGCTGTATGGATTGGCTCGGTCATAACATGTTTGTGAGAGCGTTGGTGCTGTATAGTAATTGGCTGGTGTAGTATTTTGTCATGGCCCGTGGTTACCGTGCGATACGGAGCAGAGCTTTAACTATAGAGTTCCATGTGAGGAGGGGAAACTCAGTGACTGTGGTGCAAGAGATTAACTTGTATTTTAAAGATTCGAAAAAGAGCAGTTTTTGATGCGGTTAGGGTATGCATAACAATGTGGTTCATACATAAAGGCAAGTAAACAAGTCATCTCAAAGGAATCGTCAGAGGTGGGGACAGATTTGCAAACTCACAGATGTCTGTAACGTCCAGAGGTGGAGAGTAACTTTACTTTAAGTTCTGTACTTGAGTAGTTTTTTTAGGTATTAATGCTCTATACTACAAAAAAATTATTAAATGTGAGGTAATAATTGCTTGAATTGAGTGGTTTTGTATCCTAATTTGAGTACCTTTCTGACTAAAAACGAGATTTGCCAGAAGGGACAAGCCATTGAGTCTCATTCCAATAGCTTAATTTTCTCATTCCAAGAGAGAAATTTTTCTGCTCGTCCCATTGGCAAATACTGTTTTAAGGCATATATATTTAAATTAAGATTAATGTTTGCCAAATCCGAGCAATTTTTTACTTATTTTTAACCACTCTTTGAAGTGTATCATTGCTATGTTAACTTTGATACTTTTACTCCATACTTTTCAAACCAGATTTCTTTAGTTTCTACTTTATTTCTATTTTAAAAGGGCTAATTATTTTGCAGATGACACATAAAACCTTCCATGCTTTTTAGTGATCACACATTGTTTTCATGAGGGAACTTGGAGAGTGTGAAAACGTGCAATCTGGGCAGAGCAGAGTCGGAGTGGTTAGCTTCTAAGTATCATAAATGCATAAAACCATCTCTGGTGATATGTTGATGAGAGAAGCTCAAAAGCCTGAGGTCAGAGGTGCTTTCTGTTTGCTTTGACTATTCCCGTTTATCTTCTCTGCTTATTGGACGACTGTAGAGTTTGTTTTTCCCTTGTACAGGTGAGTGGATTTCTCTCAAGCTTTCTCTCTTCTGACGGTAACTCCTTGATAAGAAGACAATAAATGGTTTTTCACTGTTATATAGAGATGAACAGAATCTGCGTTTTTGTTTCCCAATCTGATTCTGAGACTGAACTCACATCAAGAGAAAATGTTTTGTTAAATTACAAAATGGGTCCAGCTGATTTGTCACTGCGTTTTCTCCTGCAAGTACTGTATATATAGAGAAAAACACGCATTTAATTTCTTCCGCTTTATCCGTTGCTGGGTTCGTTGCTTCCCATGCCATCTGAAAGACATGCTACCTTCAGTGTGTCTCTTGGGTCTTCCCTGTAGCATCCTCTTGGTCAAAACCAGATTCTTTTTTTCACATTAAGAGCAATATTAGATATCTGTGATGGTGTCAGTGTGTAGGCCTTTTTAGTGTAATGATTTGTTTTATTTTTGTGTCTCTAGAAAAGAAGAGAAAAAAGCAGGCCGCATGATTCCCAGTCTACTTTCTCTCAAAATAGAATGATTGAATGATCGCAAGTATACATGGCTGGACAGTATCAAAGAGAGAAATACAGTATATGAATAGATTGAAATATGTATTTGACTGCAGCTCCTGTGATTTTATTGTATTATTTCCACCACATGAATTCAGAAACAAAAATGTAACCTTTTTTTTTACAGAGGATGCACGTGCCAAAACAGTTCTTGTATTCACAATAACTTAATCTTTGTCATATCACTTATTGTTGCATCCTTCATTTGCACTTTGTGTTTTACTCCACCACCAGTTTGTGTTGAGTTGCCTCTTCAATATTGAACATCAGCTGCACCACCCAGTCCGGGAACAGGTCCACCTTAACAGACATGAAAAGATTATGTTGGGCCGACCAAGACTGGATTTCTACAGTAGTTGTGGCATTGGGCTGAAAGACGTGTCTCAAACTCAAACTGCAATTAGAATTATCTTATGTACAAATCTTCTATCCCTGTAGTTGAGACCTCTAGAAACAGCATAAGACATGGGATGGTAATACGTAATTTGGTCATTTTGGTCTGATTTTAAAAGATTTGGGTTTTTTTCAAGGCTGCCTTTTAATTTATTATACATATCATTACGTGTATGCTTGTTTTGAAATGAAAAACTCTGATGTCATGTATCTTTGGCAGTGAGTGCTTGTATTGGTCTTCTTGTACTTTGTGAACTTTGAACTTTATCCAAGTAAACATACATCAACGAAAATAGTGGTTTAACGTCCTCTCTGATTCTAGTTTTTATATTCTGATATTGTCTTTGTAGATCCAGATATAAGCCATACGAAGATTGAACAATCAGAGGCCTTCATTCATGGGGCAAATTGAAGTTCTTAGCAACGGTCTGCCTCCGTTACGGCGCCATGCTAACGCTTTCTAAACAAATGCCCATAAATAACCTTGTTGGCTCCAAACCGCTTTTGTTCAAATCGGTTTCTTCCATATTCAGCCAAAACTGAGGAGACGTCGGCACTCTCTCCTAATATATGATCTTTGGGATGCATCGATCCAGCTTTTAAACAATACTGAAAATAGTTGGGGAGGTTTTACTTCCCTCAAATCACTGCTAACTTATGACAAAATTAGTCGAATTGACCCCAAGTACCTACAGCACTACCAAATACAACATATTTCCATACATACAACAAATATTTCTAAACAGAGAGTTATAGCTCTTCCCCAAAGCCTAAATGATAAATAACCTGATATTTTTACAACATGGATCAAATATGAACACTTCACCTTTGACCTTGCTCGTCTCTTTCTTTTCACTTTTTGTGGAGAAGCATCAGTGGCGTTGAACAGGCTGGACTTAGACTTTGGTAAACCAGACGTAGACGGTCGTGGTCGTCTCCTGCGGCTGCTGCGAGCTCTCAGGGGAGTGTCGACAAAGATTTCCTCTTCTGATGGTTCTTCATCTTCCTCTAAACGCTCTGACGACTTCTCTGATGACTTCTCTGACGACTGCTCCGTGTCCAAAGCAACGCTGGCCTGTGCTCTGTCCCCATCTCCATCTTCATCCTCTTCTTCCTCCTCCTGAATGGCCTCCAAGTGCAACAACTGCTCAAAAATACATGTGGCCTAAATCAAGCCGTTTTTTTATATTTTTTGCAACTTTTCTCATTGAAATCTGCTTCATTCTCAGTTTCCAATCAAATCAGTTCAACTTTTTATAGCCGACAATTACAACAGTCGTCTCAAATGACTAACAACAAAGACGATACAATACCTACATTATGGATTTACCAAAAGCAGATTATAAAATTAAATGCATTTTGTTCAAGTAAAATCATGATTAAGAGGCTCAATTCAGACGTACTGTATGCAGTAAAAATGGCTTCAAACGTACAACTTACATACAGCTTTTGGGAATCCATTTTTCTGAATCAAAGCAAATTTCACCAACTGCAGAATGTTCTTCCTGATTTAAATTTTTAACTCAACTCAGGTGTGTGTAACATGGCAGCCTTCAGAGTTAGAGGAAAAAAACCAAGACGATAACATTTTCTATTGTGAGGGCGACTGCTGAATGCAAAATGTACAAAAGTTCATATTTTATTAGTCAATAAGGATTTTTTTGGTTTATTTTATTGTTTGAGTGTTGAAGTTCTGCTTATTGGGTCTCCTGCACTGAACTCAAACAGAAGCTGTTCACGCTGAAATCCAATAAGTAGTTTAAATCAGGGGCTCTTAACCCTTTTGACCTTTCTCACAAAGTAATCTGGCCCTGTTCTTCTGGTTATAAATCACTTAAACCTGTGATTGTTTCTACTTTCTGAAAAAGATTATGAGGAATTTTGGGGAAAATGCAATTGTTTTCATGTAAAAAATATGACTACAATAATGATGAAATAATAAACAAAGTGATCATTGGCAAAAACAGACATTTCTGTTTTAAAAATGTGTCAAAAGGTTCCCCAGACGAACACGTTTTGTTATTGGCACAACATTTGAAAGGATGGACTGAAGAAGGGGTGACTGTATTTGTTGGGGGCTAAAAAATATCTGGCTTTTCAAAAACGACTTCATAAATTGTAATCTTTGCTGATATTCTCCGCTGCTAAAGTACAATATATACATCTGTGAAAACTTCTGAACCAAGTCCAATTATAGCACCAGAGTTTATTTTATTTTATTCTATTTTACCATCTTATTATCTCATTTTAATTATGTTGTCTATTATCTTAAATAATCGGCTCTGTTTGATGTGTGCAATCTGACTGCTCTCATTTTCTTCTTTCTGATACTGACATTTCTCCACTGTGAGACAAATAAAGGAATATCTTTTCTTTAAGTTTTTCAAATACACATATCTGTTTTTGCAAATGAAATATTTAAATACACACTGTAACATATGTCTGTAAAATTACAATGAAATTTCAACATTAAAGAAGTGTTATTTTTTAAACATTTAAGTATAAATTGGTTTAAAAACATCCCGTGGCGTGTAATTATAAAAAACGTTACAATACCATAAAATCACAATGTGGTTATCGTAACTTAACATCAACTTGTTATATTTTTGGAATGCTGGGAATTTTTTGCTAGCAAGTAACCATGAGTGTTAATATGATGCTTATGCGTTGAGCTTGTTATAGAAGTAAAGATTTCAACTACTTTCTCGTATAAACTGAAGACGTTAAAAAATAATTGAAAAGTTGTGTTCATTAAAGGAAAATAAAATTAAACGGTGTAGTTTTTATTCAATGAAACTAATGAGAAACATAAACAGTCAAAGGGTGTAATAACACAACATTAACATTATAAAGCTGTTTTTGTTGTATGTGAATGAACAGAAACATACAGTTAAATCCTGAGATCACAAAGGCATAATGTGGTCCAGTGAAACAGTCTTTAACCGTTAAAATTAGGAACGGTAACGCCATGTTGAGAAAACGGTCCCTGGAACCATATTTGCCATCTTTTTACCGTTTTTCAACAAGGTAAAAATAAATGTTCATTCTACATTCTTTACAGTGTAGAATGGCCTACAGTCAGCCTGTCAACTCATTCTAATATTCACATAATGTAGTTTGATCCACTTTTCTGAGAACTCCTGCGGAATATTTTGGGTCCTCTCCTGAAGTTTGGGAATGACCCCTCATCCAAATTCAGAAATAAATCTCCTTCCTTAGTCTTCCCTTCCCTTCTTTTACATTTTTATTGATCTTCGTAGAATAAAATGGCAAATAAAAACATTAAAAACGTCTTATATTTCACTTCAAACATTGCGCTGATTGTATATTTTAAAGCACACAAATGGAAAAGGAATTAAGTATTTTTGTGGAATAAGGATACCGCCTTAAACCGGATCCGAGGCTGTTTGTAAAGAAACTTCCCTCACTCCAGTCACAATGATTCAGCACCACAAAAATCACATGACGTTCATGATATGGACATGCGTCAAGTGAGCGCTCAAAACAACCAGAAGCCAGTTGCGTGTTGTCTCTGCTTTTACTATAGATTTACTACTAATTTTACTAATTTGACTTTACACATTTTCATCATATAATCTTCATGTCTTCATAATTGTCACCATCGTCAAATATTCAAGTAAAGTAAGACATTAATGTATTCATGGCGTTGTAAATGAAAAATGTAAATAACAATTCTATAAATGCCATGTTATTTTTTGATATGTTTTATATAAAGTAAAGTGCACAGTGCATCTCCAAACATTTTTATAGTTTTCTGCTGCAATGTATTTTTTGTTTTTGATCTTGTTGGATGGTTGTTCCCCCCATCGACCTGCGGTATCAGCAGGACAGTGTTGTTCACCCTCCGCCCCCACATTCACCTCAGGTCGCCTCTGCACCTGCCATTGTTGCAAAACCAAACTGGCACTCACTTATTTTTCATGTAGCCAGTTTTGTATATTGTAAAAAAAAAAAAAAAAAATAGAGATTTTCATTAAATCGCAAATCTTGGAATGTCAGTACTTCTGGACTAATATAGTATAATTTGTGTAATTAATTATAGGATATATATAATTAAGTTTTTCCTTAGATATTTAGAGGTATTGATCTGGGTTTGAGTGTTTCTTTTAATTCTTATTCTTATTGTTAGGATAATGGTTAGCTTACACCACTCTTCCAGCTACTCTCTTGCTGCTGCTGCTACTGCCACTACTAGTTTATTTATTCAGTGTTGATTTGGTTAGAACAATGCATTTGAACTATTGACTGTAAATATAAACAGACGTAGTCACCCCCATCTCCGCCGTTGAAACTAATGTGCCACCACTTTTGGCTTCAATGGGGCTTTTTCAAAATGGCCACAGGGGCAGGAAAATGTGAAAAAGCATTTGCGCAAGCGTTAGCTATGGCACCAGCCCCATTCATTTAACAAGTGCCTTCTGAAGTCCACAGCGGCTAAACTAGAGTGGTCCCAAAACAATCCCCCTCTTATCATTGATCTGGAACCTATGGCATTGGGTCAAGAGCCGACTTTTGGACCATCCTGTGAAGCCGTTTTTGAGAGGAAAGAAGACGCCATAGAAAAGCGTTGGATAATTCTCTTTCCGGGTCCACCCCTACTGGCCCGGAGTGGGATTGCAAGACTGTCAGCGCTGATTTGAACACACACAGAAAGGTCTGGAGGTGGAATTGAACCCGGGACGTTCTTGCTGTGTAACACAAGTTTTATCCACTGAGCCACCGTGCTACTGCTGCTACTGCTATGACTACTGCCACTACTACAATTATTCTACAACCGCTACTAGTACTGCTACTACTATTATTGCTGCCGCCACTACTGCCACTGCTACTACTACTACTAAAAATATTCCAAGTGCTCTCCATTGAAGAAAGACTGGGCTGAGGCTGTTCCATGCTGTAACTCTAACTTCATGACTACACAACACGCCCTCAGCCCGCGCCTTCAGAAGTGGCAGCGAAAGCCAAAAATATGTCCACGTTTCCACATATTGAATGAAACAACATAGAGGCGCGCTCCCGGCCTCATATGGTGAAGCTCCACTCACTACTGGCTTCATAAATCTGTCATTACCTCACATAATGGACTGAAAAGTGTTATTTGGAGCCATAAAGTAAGGTGTGAGAAATTACTTTTATAGAGTGAGGCTAACAAGAAAACAGCCTGTAAAGCGTATTATTATCCCCCGTAGACACATGGAAAGTATAACATGCTGATTTTCACTCCAGCCAAATTGTCTGAGCTCAAATATGCCAAATGGACAGTTTTTAAATGTAGCCATAGCAGCTGTAGTGGGAAATAGTAGTAGTAGTCGAAGTAGTAGTAGTTGTTGTTGTTCTGCAATTTGAGAGAAGATTTCAATTGATTTTATTTTGTATAATTTAAGAAGAGAAGGTCCTTTATTTGTCCCACAATGGGGAAATTTTAGTTTGATGCAGACACATATAATGTACATACACATACACATACACACATACACACATACACATCAAGGCAAGCAGCGAACATCACTTCCGCGCTCCTTATAGGCAATTAAGTGGGAGTCGGTGGAGGAGGTCTCGTGGTGGGCTCGATCCCTACGACCTTCAGGCTCAACTGAATTCACTGTATAACCCTAATTCACAACTGCAGATGTCTCAGATGACTTTACAAAATGTCGATTCACCAACAACAGATCAGAGAAGCCAACAATTCAAACACAGGAAAGGCAGTAATAACAAACACATAGGAGCCATTGGTCCACAGGGAGTGGTAGAGTCCACAGGGAGTGGGATGACCAATGTCCAAAATCATAACTGTCCTAAGACCCGGCATGTCCAAACTATGGCCCACAGGCCATTGGCGGCCCTCTGTCTACTTTAAATGGCCCTCTGCCTTGCTAACTCAAACAAATTCCCCACCGCTGTCAGACTGTACAATAAGTCTCTTTAAGTCACTAATGCACCAGGACTGAAAAAAACCTGCACTAATATTTCCACTCTTTCTTTTATTGCCACATTTTTCTTGTACATAAAAATATGCTGCACAGACTAGATTTTTAACTTCTGTCTTTTGCACAGATGTGACATGTACATTTCTCCAGTGTGAGGTCAGTAAAGTCTATCTTATCTTAAATTTAAAAAAAACATAGTCATCCAGCCAACTTCAGTTCTGCCAACGTGGATATACCTCGTTGTAGAACTCAGGACAAGTACATTTGACATTATATCGTAATGATCCCTCCTTTAACTTTGCTAAATCCGTCTTTTCCTTTTCTTTATCTTAGAACACTTTTGCGACGTAAATGAGACACTAGGGACTACTTTGAGCATCCAACCAAAACACATTTCATTGGTTTTTGGATGGCTGTTGTACCAAGCATTTGCAAATTATAATGTCTTTGGTGTGGTATTCAAAGTTGTATGTAAATTGTTATTATTTGAGATTAACATGGGTTTAAAGAGACTTGACTGGAGGAGGCGCGTGGAGAGGGACGTCCACTGAGTCCAAACTTCAAAAGTGAAAACACACACACAAAAAACAGAAAACCCCTTATGTTTTATACATCAATAATGTCTTTATTACAAAATATTAAATAACCCAACTTTACACTGTACAAGAAACACCATACAGTTGTTTAAAGCATTTGGCTATGTACAAAAAGTTGTGATCTGCATTATCAAAGTGAATATTTCTAAAAAGGCAGTTTGCAACCACTGTAAGCTTATTTAGTAAGGCATATAACTTGTGTCATATTTACAATTTGCAGATCGATTTTAAAAAGCTAGATATGGTTTAACAAAAAGAGGCCTAGAAGCAACAGCATGCTCAAGCAAATAGTGACGAAAACACAAATTATAATCCAAAAGTGTGGTTTTGATTGTAAGTGCTCATAGTTTCATGTGACAATGGTTTGGAGGCGTGAGTTCTCTTTGTTCCTCATCGTTATGGCATTGAGTCGATTATAGAAAAGACATTCCGCACACATGGATTTTAAAGGGAACGTTTCACATGATTTTTTTTATACAATTCAGAATTAAGGCAAGACACTAGATACAACAGAGGTTTTACAAAATGAGTTTGAGATAATTATTGCCTTGGTTTTAATGAATGTCGAGTGTGATATCGTTGTTTGTTTGAGATGTGAAAAAAATTGTATGTTGTTATCGCTCACTGGTTTGAGAAGTTACAACAATTCTAACGAAACCATAAGTTGCCAGTGTCTACAGTAGAGCAATGATTCCCAAAGTGTGGATTGTGTCATTATTATTAAATTATTAGTGCTTTACCGCGTTGTTTGTCACGATTTCAAGGTTAATTTGCAGGTTCCTGACAAAAAAGGGTTGGGGCTCCATAGACTCCATAAAATTGCTGCTGGTGCTTGTTTTTGACATATGAGACTCATTCCAGTTTCTTTGTTTGAGAATCAACGCAGCTATCATGTGCATTCTTTAATAATGAATCAGCTTTAAAATGATGATCAGAGTAAAGTTCATGTTTGAAAATGTGTCCCTCATATTTGGTTCAATGTAAATTTAAATCTAAATCTAAATCTTGTATAGGGTTCGTTTGATTAGAAAGATTGAAAGTGCTTTTTTGTCTGCCTTCTTTGTCTCCATGTAGATGTTGTTACTATAAATGTCCCACGGTGTGCCTTTAAAATGATCTATTTCTCTGGTCGCAGGCAGGTGGCAGCACTGGACCAAGTTACAGCTCAAACCAGCCTTGAGTTGGAGCTTAAAAAATATACATTTGCTTGGAGGCAAAAATAAGAAATACTGCCACAGTTCAAGCTGAGGTACCTAACTTTAAAACCACAAACAATTGAACCGTGTTATGAAATCAGTCTCACTTGATCCTGGCTCTAAATCGGTTTGGATCTATCACTAGTTTTCACCTGAATGTACATAACTCTATGTTTAATTTTTTTTTTTCAGACAGACAAGTGAAAAAGAGAGAACCACCCTCACTCAGCCAATCAGCTCTCAGCCCCTAATATCCTAATATGCAAACAATAACAGGTTTTCCAATCAGATGAAGACGGCATATGACATTTACTCTTTCTGTTGGACACAATACATATACTATTCGTTGGGGGGAAAAAGTTAGGTACACCAGCTTTGGATTAGTTACTCAAGCAATAGACATTGTGAGAGAACGTAAAAATCCACTTTCAAAACATTATTTAGTGTCTTGCCTTAATTAAGCCCCTTGTTTGTGTAGAAAATAGTCGGTAAAAATCAAACATGACATGCTGTTAAAAAGACACCATCTGATTTGAACCAAGTACCGTGAGGTAAAATGCAAAATTCAAGGGAACGCGTATATGACTATTACTTTGGTTTACTTTACAACTATGGCTGTCCACGTGTATAAAGTCATGCACTATGTCAGAGTACTGCGAAAAATCTCCAGTGTAAAAAAATCGATTATTATGAATATATATTGTGCTGTTGGTCGTATTGGTCACACAAACGTCATGCATACACGCGCACCCACATGCATGCAAAACAGAACACCAGGTTTGATACTGTAGAAGTGCTGTTATTCTTGGCATAATCCTCAAAAAAAACGGTGCAAAGCGAGAGAGAGAGAGAGAGAGAGCGCGCACGTGTGTCTTCGTGTATGCGCTGTACAAAATGAAAACTCCGGAAAAAAAACGCCTTTAGATTTCAGGCAATATCTTCTTCTCCGAGTTTGATTGTCTTTGTAATCCTGAATAGTAAAATCGGCCAGCACCACTCACCTGAATAGCTCTTCATGTCAGAGAGAAAATCCCGAACATATACACCGCTAATATTCTTGGCGTGCGTTCACATTTGGTTGAAGTGGACTCTGGTGCGCTTTGTTTGCAGAGATGTGAAAGTGCGAAAAACAAGCGCACCCTGGTCCATAGTCCCCTCTGTCCATTCACTACATTATAAAACATAAGCAAAGTGAACCAAGTCCTCCAGACAACTGTGAGCGCGGGCTTTTTAGTCTTTTCCCCCGTTTCAAACCGCCGCGTCGGCTTCTCTCGGCACAACTTCGATCTCTATTTCCGTTATGTCTTCCTCCTCCACCACTTCCCTGACCGCGGGCACGCACGGAGAGGCCAGGCACTGACTATTGCTGACGCTGTTAGGCTGGATGCCCATGCTGAGGCTGGTGGCGGAGGAGACGCTACCCAGGTTGGCGGGCACGCTGGTTTTGCCGCAGGAGTGAATGCGGCGCGCCAGACTCACCGAGCGCATGACGGAGGAGGTGGTGACCGTGCCGATGCCCTGGACTTTTCCCTCCAGGAAGTAGGTCAGCATCTCGCCTTTGCCCTTGACGCTGACCTTACCGCGGCACACCAGGTCGTAGTTGGTGTTGAGCATGCGGTTCACGTCCTCGGTGACCTGGCGGAGGAGAGAGAGGAGGCGGTTAAAGCTGGGGTAACTGACTTTTTTCCCTTTCAATGAGTCACTTTAATGACCTGCACTAGGACTGAAAAACTTGCACTGCTATAGTCACTTTAGATTTTATTGTACATATATAAAGAGACTACCTTTTTGACATGTTTGCACACTTCCTGTCTTTTTTTGCATGCCCTGAGTGATTCTATCTATGCCAAATGTGACATGTAGATTTCTCCTTTCTGAGAATAATAAAGTGTATCTTATTTTATCGTATCTTGATTGTCAGACCAAAACATACTGTCTTCATCAGAAAACAGCTTATCTTTAGTAAATACTTAAAGAGAAAGAGCCCTGTGAGTCTCCAGTTCACACTTTTTCTATTTTCTGTCTGAAAAAAATATTATCTAATTAAAATTAACTAAATAAATAAGAGATGGATTTTATAGCTTAGTTTTGTGGTTTGAAACGTAGGTACCCCAGCTTCAGACACACATTTAAAGTTAGTTAACCCAGCTTTGGTGAATAAAATTATTCACCACATTGTAAAGTGCTTTGAGTGACCCTGGTTCATGAAATGTGCTATGTAGATAAACATCACTTTTTTTTACTTAATAACTTCAAGGATCTCACAATATCAAATTTGTGTTTGAGCTGCATAACAGATTCGGTGATTTACTGTATGTATGGTGGCTGAATGGGGAGCCAGTTTCAATTCCGCCTCATACTCTTCTTAAAAGTTAACAACATTGTTTCAAATTACATTATCCCTCTGCACACTTCTAAACTTTGCTATTGTTTGTAACTTTCTAGGTCAAAGCAGCCATTGGGTGACGGTCCAGAGAACCTCTTGCGCCCCCATATGGCCGGTCATGACCAAGGCTGCGACTCATTCATCATATTTGACACACTTTAACTTAAACTATGTGAGGTAAGCCACCGCAAAGTTGTAGTTGCAATTGTTTAGAGCTTCAAGGGCAAAATTTGTCTTCTGTGACAGGGTCTTCATGATTGTAAATTGTCTGACAGGCCACTGGTCACAATCAACTCTCCTCAAGGCTTTGTTACTTTGTTGCGTTAAGTTGTTGCGTGTCCTTGTGTACCTGTATTTTCCCCGGAACTCCAGTGCTGTCCATGCGACTGGCCACATTGACTGTGTTCCCCCAGATGTCGTACTGGGGCCGCCGTGCACCGATCACACCCGCAACCACCGGCCCCACGTTGATACCTGGAGATGAAACGCCACTGCTGCCGTCAGAAATCCTCCTTCACTTTGTCATAATATAATGCATAGTACTTATTTAGCACTCAAAGGCACTTCACAAGGCATTATTCATTCATTCATTCACACATACACACACACACACACACACACACACACACACACACACACACCAGACTATTACTAGGCAATGTGGGTCAAGTGTCTTTCTTGAGGACACAACAGTTAAGCCTTTTACAGCCTGCTCCGCAGTTGCACCTTGTGTTCCCAGAATATAGTTTGATAACATACCATCTAAAATCTGTAGATATGCGTACAACAACAGATGTACGAATATCTACAGATAACACTAATACATACATTTTAAACAAATAACATGCAGATTTTTGATAGAAACAAGTAGTGAAAAGCTGATCTTGTCAGACGTTAAGCTATAGCAGAGAAGGGCCTGGTACTGTGATGGGAGACCTCAGGGAACTATTGCTGTGTCCTTACTCACCAACGTTGCTGAGTGAGTCTGGTGTGTATGTGAATAATTGGTGGTGGTCAGAGGGGCACATGGCACAGATTAGTTGTCTCACTTCTGTCAGTCTGCCCCAGAGCATCTGTGGCTACAGTAGGAGCTTACCATCACATATGCAGTGAATGAATATTGCAATAAGAAGCATCTTTGGGAGTCATGAAAAGTGCTCTATAATAGTGTACATTATTATTATTATCATTAGTGAGTATGGATAGTTTTTTTTAACAGTATATGGATTATACATGGGTTGGTTTCAGAGACTAGTGTTGACAACAAGTTCATACTCTACTAACCACATAAGACTCTTCTTGGTGAGGGGTTTGAACACTCTCCAGGTTTATGTGTCTATGCATTCGTCATCATCAATAATCTTTGGCATTGAAATTGAGTTTGAAATGATGTATACAAAGCCGTACACTAATGCGCTTCTTGACTGTGCTTATTCACAAAACAAACGTACCAACTCGTAGCACAAATTCATTGTACGATTGATAGTTGATTTCATCCAGAACGTCGAACATCTCAATGGCGTAGTCTGCGATTGTGCTCAGATGATCATACCCAGATTTTTTGGCCTAAAATTCAAATGAACACGTTGAAACCCCCCCCACACACACACACACACAACATTTCAGAAGCATTCATAAAAAAAGACCTTAGTTCCGATCGTTGGCACCAGCCCCACTGCTGCCATGTATGTACTGCCAATAGTTTTGATTTTCTCTATGTCTTTGTAGCACTCTTTGTCCATGAGCTGGAGGAAGAAGGCGAGATAAGAAAAGAAAGCTTTCAAAATGTGTAACACTATTCCAAATTCCCATTCTGTTCGTACCTCATCAAAGTCTGCGATGATCTCATTGAGCAGTCGAAGGCACTCCACTCCCATGTTGTTGCCGTCCAGCTCGATGTAGAAGTCATTGAAGTTGGGGATGGAGGCGAATAGGACGCCCACTTGTGCGTAGGACTGGTAGTACAGATCCTTCAAAGCACACACTGTTTTTGCAGGAGACTTTTGTGTGGTGTTGTAATATGGCTGAATGAAAAGGTAAAGCTCACCATGTTCCTGGGATTGGACATGAGAAAGTGCTGAGCGACATGCGCAGGCAGCAGGTTGAAAAGTATTCTGCGGTTGTCAAGCTTGACTTTCTCCATGCCGTCTCTCTCCTCCTCCGCCTGAAGAAGAAATGGTTGAAATGTAGTGGTGCAGTGGGCAGACTTTTCACCCACATGCTCTGCAAAAGTCTGCAAACAACTATCTTGTCAGGCTAAAAATTACATAGCTGTTTTTGTAGATGTTGGTTGTTAAAGTAGCAATATAAGATTTTCATGTCAATTAAAGGGTCCTAATACTGTATGTCAAAAAGCATTAATAAACCATGCTCTTTTCAAATACTTCTGGTAGTTCAGCTGAGATATTTGGATTTGGTTTTGCAGCCCCTAAATCTTGTTATTGTTTTCCTTTTGATATCCCGCCCTCCACCGTTTTACCCATCAGAAGATCTCAGATCCGGGTTGCCAGAACTCACCACGTTGAGCCAATCTGACTGGTAAAGTAACATGTGGCCGCAGAACTAAAAAGGTCTTGTTATGATTCTCAAATTATTGATAATAGGGTTGGGAACCTAAGAGTACCTCACGATACGACACGATACACGATACAAAGCTCACAATAAAGATATTATCACAATAACAATATCACGATAACGATTTTACCACGATATGACGATTATTGATATATTGGTCAGAAATATACAATATGCCAATTTGTGGCATAAATAAAAGAAAAAATACACTTTATTTCATGATAAATGGAATGGAGATGGATGGATTGGGCGACAGTAGCTCAGTTGGTAGAGCAGTGGCCTTAGAGTCTGGAGGTCGTGAGTTCGATTCCCACCATGGGACCTACTCCAATTGCTCCCACTGAGGCTGATGTCTACTGTCGTTGTGTCCTTGGGCAAGACACTTAACCCCACGTTGCCTGAAGCCCCCGCTGAAAGACCAGAAATGGAAAATAAAGGGCTTGAAAATGAAATGAAATGAAAAATGGAACGGAGATGCGTAATGTAGCCATATATTAAGTATTGATACCAATTTTAAAAAATAATGTGTAAAAAACATATATATATATATTTATTTTTTTTCTAAATTGATATTGATGCTTGGCAAATGCGTATCGATAATCGAATCGCGGGAGAAAGTATCGTCACACCCCTAATTAATAACAAAACAAGGAATAAAACGAGGACTTCTATCGGGGCCATTGTCAAAAAGGTTTTGGTTATAGATTTGTTTTTGACCAAACTCTTGGCCCCAGCTGGATTTGTCTGCATATCTGGCAACCTGAGTCAGGGAGAGTGGGATATGTTGCAGTACCACTTTTGGCCAGATTTTTACATACTGCTCCTTTAATGTTTATTAGACCTGGTTTAGTTCTGTCAATCGCATATTTTGAAATGGATCTAAAACTTTAAGAGGATTGTGGATTGATAGTTAAAGCAACTCTGGTTCACTTGGGACTTAATGTGAATCCCAAGTCTCTCAGTTGGTCAGGGACATCGAGGAAGCCCTTATGAGCTGGAGGAAGTTTGCATGGGTAGAAACTATAGAGCACTAGAAGAAAATGCATCTACTTTAGTCAATAATGTTAAGGCGAGGATTGTATGGAAAGTTAAGTCTTACCAATTGAACCATCAAAGATTCTTGGTTTTAGTTGAATCATTCTGAAACATTATACTTCTTCTTGAACAATATTTATGTCTTTCTTTCCCGTTTCAGTAAAATTCCAATTTCCTTCCAACAAGTCTCTCCATGGCCTCCCACCTAAGTACATCTGTGACATTTTAGTGCCTTACAAATCAACTCGGACTCTGAGGAGCACAGGGACTGGCCTCCTGCTGCTGCCCAGAGTCAGGACTAAACATATTGAGGAAGAATTTCAGACTCATAGCAGCTAAAATCTGGAACAGTCTTCCTGAAAATATGAGACAGGCTTCTTCTTTGACAATGTTCAAATCCAAGTTAAAAGCAGCTCTTTTTAGCTGTGCATAAACAGAAGGATTTTTCCATCTTTACTCTTTTTAATGTCATGTCTCCATCTTTTTTTATTAATCACTTTGGGTTTCCTTGTGAATGAACTGCGCTATACAAATCCATTTGCCTTGGCTTGCCTACACACATACTTCCAAGTTTCTATCCTAAGATCTGAAGCAAAGACACAGGATCCCTCACCTGCACTGCCCAGAGGAAGTCCAGGCGGAGTTTGAGGTCGAGCTGTCTGGAGTGGAGGGCCAAGGCGCTGACAAATAGTAGCAGAGACAGGAGCGGTTCGTAGCCTCGAATGTGGAAGGACCCCCCACTGTGAAGCAGAGCCGGGTTCAAGTCAGCGGACCACACAGGAGACTTGCCCCACACGCAGCAATCAAGAGCCAGATTCATGTTTCGCTAAATAACTGTGCGAGTGGTGTGCCGCGTGCAAGAATTTGAACATGTGCAAACAGGGCAGAGGTCAGTTTTACAGAAAAAAAGTCCTGCTCTGTAAGTATGAATGGAGGCGGCGTCATATTTTACAGGCTTGTCAAATCCCATAAAGGGAAAACCGTCCTGAGGCAAGACCACATCGCCTGGAATGAATCTAGTGCAGGGGTCTCCAACCTGTAGCCCGGGAGCCACCAGTAGCTCGCCAACCCCTTCCAGGTAGCTCACCAAAGGATTTAGAAATGGATAAATCAAATAATATACTTCATATTTCAGATTGCATTGTTCATTATCGTTATTTTGTTATTGTATATGCACTTACTTTGTGCACCAGTAGCAAATATGCAATGATAAATAATGACTGTAGCCAATATCAGGCTTGTTCACGCCAATAAAGCACCACATTTTTTCCCAGGGTCACTTAAAGGAGTAGCTCTCTGCTTTTATCATCCCAGGAAAGTAGCTCTCTGGGTGAAAAGGTTGTTCCTTCAATAAATGTTTCGGAAATGTTTTAAAAACGAGCACTGTATTACTATTGATTGCAACTTTCAGAATGATTGATGAATGCATGAATGTGAGCATTTGTAAAACAATAAGCAGTCATTTTTTACTCAAAAATAATAATACTTGTTGAGGGTCACATAGTTGTTCTGGTATAGATTGAAAGGCATCAAAGAAATATGCTCAAATTAGCTGTTTGTCGCTGTTTTAGTATCAATTTTGTGTCTGATTTTCGATTTTTTTTGACAACCATATAAAGGTTTGCACAATACTCGGTTAGACCCCTGGGTGGCATCGGTGCAGTTTGCATATTCTCCCCGTGTCTGTGCTTGCTGCCCTGATTTTTCTTCTCCTGCCACTTCAAATGTTCCAAATGCAAAAGTAGGGTATGAAAAAAAATGAGATCCCAAAACACTGTGATACTGAATGAATTAAACTAAATCACAATGCGACTTTTTCTATTTAACTGACTTCAACCAGAGCGAAGAACCTTGCATTAGTATTTAGTTTATGTGAAAATCCAGATTATGATCTCTGAAATAACTAAGCCAACGTAGTGCCCACCGTGTCCTGTCAGGATTCAATTTGGTCCTAATGAGCTGCTTCAAAGGCTGTCTGCTGGGAGTGCGTGGGCCGATGAGAAAGTCTGCAAATGTACTATACACGCCGCATCTCCGTCAGCAGCGGTTATCTTTGACGGACTACCACCTCTCACAGCCAATCACTGTTTTAACTTTTGACAGGCTACGAATTTCCCTGGGATTCAGAACTGTGTGCGATAGTTAGAAAGAGACTACTTTGGTTGTTTCTTTAATAGCGAGCTGCTTCGAAATGTGTATTTTGAACAGTAATTATTTGTTTGAGCTACATATGTATTTTGTATTTGCATAACATGGTGTATCCTGGTTGGCTCCTCTGCTTTTATTGTTCATACTTAGGCACCTCGGACCCCACCGCACTCCCCCGCCTCCTGCTCACCAGCACCGGGTGAGTACAACGGTGCAAACACTGCTCCCTGTCCGTCTGGCAGTGCATTACCAGTCCAAACACTGAACTGTGCTGACTCCCTTCTGATTCTGGGAGCTAAAGAACAACAAGGGTTTTCACATTTTAGGCCAATTGAGACTGTGTGTGTTCCTCGCACCAGCTCAAAAATGTTTTTAAATTCTAAAAAACGAAATCAAAACAGGACAGCAGTTAGACCAGGGGTGCTCACACTTTTTCAGCATGCGAGCTACTTATAAAAGGATCAAGTCAAAATGATCTACCTACTACAAAAATGCAAATCATATATTTATTTCAAAAAATATTCTTTATATCTACAATGTATGTTTATGTACATGCAAAACCGCATGAGCCAATATAGCACAACACAACACAATTACCTATGTACATTTTTTGTCATTACCCGAGTTTACTCTTATGACTTGCACTGAATTGAATCAGCCAGGGATGCATAGTCCAGAAAATTGGTGGTAACTCGCTGACAAGTTTGTCGTGGTTTAGCTTTCCTGCACTGAGCGCGGTTGTTTGCGCATGTGCAGTCACCTAAGTGTCAGTAAAACATTACTGAGTAAAACACAGATGTCATTTGACTGTGGTGCCATGTCCATGTGCCATGCCTGTTTTTTTAAAATCCAAATATTTCCCCTCCTCAGTTTATAAAATAATTTGCATCCACACATCTGCGTTATCAATCACATTCGTAACATTCCAAACATGTGCGTCTCTTACGTCCTGTCCTGCGTTGGGGAAAAAAACAGAAGTGGGCGGAGCTTTGATGCAGACGCCGGTAACGGAACTTTTACAGTCATAGAAGACACTCAGAGTAAAGACGTATGTTTACAAGCACTGACCCCGTCCTCAGCCCTGGTTTAGTCCTGGTTTAGTCCTGGTTTAGTCCTGGTTTAGTCCTGGTTTGGTTGTTTTCGAGCGCGAGTCCGATCACTCTGCTGCTCTCTGATGTGGAGGATGTTCGCTGCTGCGAGCATCTCACAGCGAACAGTTTTTAAGGTAGTATGATCCATGCTTCAGTGATCAGAGGAATTTAGGGGGGTACTGTGGCGTGCGAGAACGCAAAACTCCGGTTATTTCTGTCTACACACAAATGCACGGAGTTTTCAAAAATCTCCACTTTGCCCGGAGTTTTTTGTATATATTAGTTTAGAATGTGTAATTTTTTATTTATTTAATGCGATCTACCAATACTACCTTTGCGATCGACTGGTAGATCGCGATCGACGTATTGAGCACCCCTGAGTTAGACGGTTCAACTCTGCAAATCTAATTTCTGTTCCCTGTAGAAATCAATCAACCACATTAATCGACTCTGACGTTATTTTTAAACTTGCTATGCTTAATGTCAGATCTCTATGTAACAAATCATTTTTAATTAATAATTTTATCACTTCTTATGATCTTGATTTTATGCTTATGGCTGAAACATGGCTGGACCAAAATACAGGAAATGCAGTTCTAATAGAAGCAACACCACCCAATTTTAAATTCGAATCCGAAGTACGAGAAAACAAAAGGGGGGGAGGCATAGCTGCAGTTTTTAGAGAGCACTTTGTCTCCCAGAGAATGCCCCTTGGAAATTTTTCATCGTTTGAGTATATTTCTTTTAAAATGGAACAAAAGCAATCTTCTACTCTTTTCATTGTCCTGTACAGGCCACCACAGTCATGTTGCGATTTTATTGACCATTTTACTGAACTACTTTCATTCGTGTGCACAGATTTTGATAGTTTAGTTATTACAGGTGATTTTAATGTACATGTTGATAATGTTGATGACAGAAATGCAAAGGAGCTGGCTTCTGTATTTGAGACCTTTGGTTTCATTCAGCACGTGAGTGGCCCCACCCACAGCAGGGGGCACACTCTTGACCTGCTAATTACAAAGGGGGTTAATGTATCAAATGTTAATGTAGTTGATGTTGCTTTGTCAGATCATTTTTGTGTATTTTTTGACATGTGTTTTTGCTAGCAAACCACCAGCTGAATTTACAATTGTTAGAAGAAGACACATACATGAAAACACAAGTGAACTGTTCATGGGAATGCTAAATTTTGAGAAAACTCCATGCTCTACTGTTGATGAATTGTATAACTCTGTCACCACCAGTGTTCTGACTGTTCTGGACGCCATTGCTCCTGTGACGGTTAAAATAGTTACCAGTAAGAAAAAGGCCCCATGGACTAAGGCAGACTCGGTCAGGGCACAGAAGCAAGAGTGCCGGAGGGCCGAACGGAAGTGGCGAAAGTCCAATTTCCAGGGCGATTATGAAATCTTTAAAGATGAGTTGGGTGAATTTAACCGGGTTCTACGTAGAACAAGAGAAATGTATTTTTCTGACATTATTGGAGGTTGCAGTAACAATTTTCGTGTTATGTTTGCAACAGTTGGTAGATTAACGAACCCCCCTGTAAAGTTGCCCCTAGAATTTTCCTCTAAATCTAGGTGTAATGAGTTCGCACAGTTTTTCGATGACAAAGTACAAGGAATCAAAAACACTATCACCTCCACAGCACGTATAACAATGCAACAGCCAGAGAAGCTTGTTGAGCTAACTCACTTTGCACCTGTGGATACTGAAACTGTCAAAAAGATAATCATGAGTCTGAGCTCCTCCACATGTAGCCTGGATATATTGCCCTCTAAATTTCTGAAGTCCGTCCTGAGCAGTTTGTTACCTTCACTGACACAAATAGTAAACATGTCTCTGTCGTCAGGAACATTTCCTATGGCCCTAAAAACAGCAGTCATAAGACCTCTCCTAAAAAAGAGCAGTCTGGATCCTGCGGGACTTCAAAATTATCGCCCCATATCGAATCTACCATTCATTGGAAAAATTCTTGAAAAAGTGGCCTCCCAACAACTTACTGAATTTTTAACAATGAATAATTCTTTTGATATGTTCCAGTCTGGGTTTAGACCCCACCACAGTACTGAGACCGCTCTAGTGAAGGTAACAAACGACATTCGACTTCACACTGATGCAGGTAAAGTCACAGTTTTGGTCATGTTAGATCTTAGTGCCGCGTTCGACACTGTCGACCATGAGATCCTCATGCAGAGACTGGAGGACTGGGTTGGTGTCACTGGCACAGCCCTAGACTGGTTTAGGTCTTACCTGGAGGATAGGAAGTACTTTGTGGAGATTGGAGACTGCGTCTCAGATCATGTGGCCCTGACCTGTGGAGTACCACAGGGGTCGATCCTGGGACCTCTCCTGTTCAATATTTACATGCTGCCATTAGGTCAGTTAATACAAAGAAACAAAGTGTCCTACCACAATTACGCCGACGACACTCAGATCTATGTCTCACTGTCTGCAGGAGAACATGGACCACTGGATTTGCTCCTTCACTGTATCCAACAGATCAGTGACTGGATGCAAAATAATTTCCTCCAGCTAAATGCAGACAAAACTGAAATCATTGTCTTTGGTCCCCAGAAACAAAGAGAGGGCGTCATTTGTCAACTTCAGTCTCTCTCCCTACTTCCTTCAGACAAGGTCAGAAATTTGGGGGTAATACTGGACTCAGACCTAAATTTCAATAGCCACATAAAATCAATAACATCAACAGCTTTTTACCATCTGAAGAACATTGCCAAAGTTAGAAATATAGTGTCCAGGGCAGACTTGGAGATTCTTGTCCATGCATTTGTCTCCAGCAGGCTAGACTACTGCAATGGCCTGCTCACAGGTCTGTCCAAACAGACCTGTAAGCAGCTGCAGTACATCCAAAATGCAGCAGCTAGAGTCCTGACAGGAACCAGGAAGTATGACCATATTAGTCCGGTCCTCAGGTCTCTGCACTGGCTTCCTGTGGCTCAAAGAATAGATTTTAAAACAGCTCTGCTTGTGTACAAGTCTCTCCATGGCCTTGCACCAGAATACATTAGTGACATGTTGGTGTCATATGAACCGGCCCAGACTCTGAGGAGCACAGGGACTGGCCTCCTGCTGGTGCCCAGAGTGAGAACCAAACATGGGGAGGCTGCGTTTCAGATCTATGCAGCTAAGATCTGGAACAATCTCCCTGAAAATGTGAGGGAGGCGTCTACTCTGTCAATGTTCAAATCCAGGTTAAAGACTGTTCTGTTTGCCTGTGCATACAACTGAAGGATTTTATCTCCATTTCTAATGCACTGCTGTCATTTATTTATTTTTTAAAATTTCTTGTGTAATTTTGAAAGTTTTAATGGTTTTATTCTTTTGTGTGATTTTAATGTTTTAATTGTGTTTTAATCTTTTGTGTGATTTTAATGTTTTAATTGTGATTCTGGTGTTTGTTTTATGTGATGATTTGTGATGTGGACTGTGAAGCGCTTTGTGTTGCCATGTGTATGAAAGGCGCTCTACAAATAAACTTTGATTGATTGATTGATTGATTGACCTCTCCTCATCTGAAAACCGATTTCTTTGTCATTTTACATTGCATAATTAGTTTAGTAAAAATAAGGAATAGTTTAAAGTGTCACATTGATAGCCCAATACTTTTTTGCAGTCCTGGATCTTTAGCTTGTCTGCCTGTAGAAGCGGATCCCTCTGCCAATATGGGCCTTCCCGAGGAACGGTAACATCGAAGTTTCCCCACTGTGGGACGAATAAAGGATCTTCTTAAATCTTATCTTATCTTTACCCAATGGGTTTTCCAGTTCCTTGGTGATGCAGGAGGGTCTAAGGACAGCGGAGCTGATCGGGGACATTTAAGGACATTTATAAACGTTTATGGACATTGGTCCTCCCTCTCCATGGACCAATGGCTCTACTGTATGTGTTTGTTATTATTGAATCTCCTGTTTTCCAACAGTTTGATTCTCTGATCTGTGTTGGCAAATCAACAACTTTGTAGAGTCCTCCAAGACGACTTCTGTAGTTATTTAGGTCTATACAATAGATTATTAAATTGAATATTTGATTTTTATTTACTTTCAGTTTGGTTTTCTTTTATTATCTTCAAATATAGTATATTTTAAGATTATTGTGTGAGTTTGTATTTCTCTTTATGGCAGAAGTAAACCAAAAATAAACAATACTAAAAAACTCAAAGTAAATGCTTTGGTTCTGATCAAGCTAAACGTTGTCGGAAAAATAAATAGCCAAGTACAGATACCTGGGAAATATACTTAAGTACAGTAAAGTAAAAATACTAATAATACAGTTACATGCCACCTCTGGATCTATGTTAAATCTATGTCTCGCAGCTCAGCAGAACTACATTTGTCTTTACCCTGCAATCTTGCGAAAGCCGCTGAGCTCCAGGACGGTGACATACAAGACGCCCAGAAGCAGCATGAGCGCCATCTTGGGGAGCCAGGACACCCGCAGGAACAGGGCCAGGGTCAGGGTCCCCACCACGCAGGCCATGAAGGCGTATCGGGCCCCGTCGCACGGCAGCTCGGCCATGGTGCGGTTGGAGCCACTGCCCACGTCGATGATCAGGATGGAGCTGTTGGAGGAGGCCCGGGCCCACAGCCACGGCATACAGCCCACCTAGAACAAGCCACCGAGAGGATGAGAAAGAGATATTTTTGGTTTATAATTCATTGGATGTGTTATCGGCTGTTATGACATTTAATGCATTTGGCAAATTTAAAATGTACTGAGCTTGTAATGTATAAAACATTCATTAGGCCAATTATGTTTAGAAGAAATATATTACGCATTAACACTAAACTGACTATGCACATATATTTAATTTAATTAGAAAACATTTAACATCCTTTTTGTCCGTGCTTCACATTTCAGCCCGACCATTATGTGCAAATTGATCTGTTTTAGATATGACTTAGACCTGACACAGTCTGATATGAAGGATGATTCTGTTCTACATCCTGGTTCCACTCCTATCTTTCTGACGCACCCATACAGCTTAAATCTTTTTCGTCACTTCTGGTGTTCCACAGGGTTCTGTCATTGACCCCTTGCTTTCTACCTTCTCCCTTTTGCTCATATTTTGAGAAAACATCACATTCACTCCCACTGCTACATGGTTGACACCCAGCTCTGCATCTCCAGCCCTTACACCATAACTACGCCATCCTCTGTTCATGTAGTTTTTAACTTTGGATTTTACATTTTTTAAATGTAAGTTTTTACTTGTGTGTAATGTGACCTTGAGTGTCTTGAAAGGTGCCTACGAGATAATATGTATTATTATTATTATGAATCTGAGCTTGATAGATTTCAATATTTAGTACTTCCTCCTTTCAGCTTGAAAAAAAGCTTTAACCTCATGAACAAACGCAATATGAGACTGTATGTACAGCTATATTAAATGCTATTGTGTGATGACTCACCACACACGCCTGAGCCACAGAGTAGATTAAGAGCACTATGAATAAACAGAGGGCAGTGCGAATCTGAATGGTCAGGCACCCTGGAAAACACTGAGACAGGAGCAATGGTTAGCACAAGCACACTCACCACAAGACGGGTCACTGCAGCAAGACCAGGAACTCACCTGGACTTTGGTTATCTGCAAGTACATGATGCACGCCACCAGAAAACAGATGCAAAAGACGAGGAGAACTAGGACTACGGTGCCCCTGAGGGAAAAGGAGAAACAAAACAACGCTAGAAATGTGTTAGATGTCCATTTGATGCTTACAAAGTTTGATAAAGGAGGATTATGAAGAAGATTTAGAGGAAGCTTTAGGTAAATATGGTACATGCCAATAACTTCATGATTTTCACTTTAAAGTACTTAATTTATGGCTTTTGACCATACCTACTAGTCTACGCCTGATCTTGTCGGATCTCAGAAGCCAAGCAGGGTGGGGCATGGTTAGCACTTGGATGGGAGAAAACCAGGCTCCACAGTGGGGCTGCTGAGACCATAAAGTGCAGGCGACATGTTTGGCCTGTTGTCTGTGTTTTTCACATTTTTCTGTAAATTGCCTAAATCATGGGTGTCAAAGTCAAGGCCCGGGGGCCAAATATGCCCGGGGGCAAATGAATTTTCTTGGCCCCTGGGATGATATTTGATGAGTATTACAACCAGCCCACACAGAGCCATAAGAAAATATTGGAGGATTCATTTAATGTTCAGGACATGTGTTTTCTCTCTGAAGCAAGGTGGTGTGTCTGTGAGCCTGTTGGAATTTTTTTACAATTGAAATTGCGACAGTGCACAACAAAAATATTGGATTAATTTAAGGATTAAATAAAATATGGAACAATGTTATAGATCTTGGTTCAATAAGTTATATGCAATCATTTTAATATATTTTAAAAACATTGAACCAGTCCGGCCCTCGGCTTGTAGCAAATATGTTTTTTGGATGTATTCGACTTTGACATACCTGATATAGATCAACATGACATGTCACCCACATTGAGTAGTTTGAATCCAGTGTGTGTGTCTGTAGATATATGTTTGTGTGTGTACGCGTGCATGTGTATGTGTATGTTCTGCGGTAGCTACCGTAATTTACTTTTGGTGTCCAGAAAAGTGCATTTTTAAACCAATTCTATCATCCCAAAATTACACAGAGCATATATATTAATTCAACATTATTATTTATTTCAACTCACTGTGGTATAATGAGCAGGTAGACAAGGCCAAACAAGGCAGCTAGAACCAGAGAGACCACGACAGCGCTGGTAAAGTACTCATCAGGGAGTTGATGGTACTGCAATACACACAAACATATTCCCATTGCATTAGTTCTCTAAAGTCTGCACTTACACATTGCCTTCATCACACTCAGCCTCCTCCGCTCCCTCACCCTTTGCTCTCGATCGGAGCACTTGTACATGAGGGTGAGCACGTTGAGGTCGGCCGTATCAGACTCGGTTTGCCGGGCCTCGATCAGCCGCCCGATGTAGCGGTTGACGCGGGTCCGGGGGCTGCTCTGGATCACTGTGGTCTGGTTGGTGTTGGAACGGTTCCGCAGCTTTTGTGGAGCGGTGCGCATGGCCCTCCGCTGGAAAGACACACAAGGCAAGTCAGGGGAAGAGAACTGATGCTAGTGTGGCATATTACGGTCAGAAGAAGCAGGTTTATATTCATTTTGTTTTAATTACATTTATTTAATGCATTTAATTTATTTTTTTATTTTTTTATTTTATTTATTTTATTTATTCTATTTGATAAGGACACGTGTACAAAAGGTCGGCAATAAACCATCTACTGTATAAGCTTAATGTCGTACTTACTTCCTTTCAGACATAATAATGATACAATGTCAGTGTTATTGATACCGCATGAGGTATAAGTGAGGTCTTCCCTATGTATTGGATTATCAAACAAATTGTCTTGATTTCAGATAATTTTATTTAACTATATACATAAAAATGGGGCAAGAATACTTATACAAGCGAAACTCTGAAAATCTGGATATCGTTCAAAAGTCCATTTACTTCTGTAATCCAATTTACAATGTGAAACTAAGTTAAGAGACTTATTACACACAAAATGAGAAAAATAAAACAGAAAATTCTGAGAAAAGGACCAGTAAGCCATAATTATACAAAGGACAATAAAAACAAAAACTTGACATATGTGTCTTTGCATGGAATGAGTCTATATTATATTTTGATTCAACATTCTTAGTTGAATCACAAAAATAAATGAATTTTTTAACGATATTCTAATTTCACAAGTTTCCCCAGTATAAGGAGTTGAGAGAGTTGTTCACGGCAAGAAACTTAAGCTTAAACTTAGTATGTATTCCCTTTAGGACGTAGAAAAGTGCATATTTTCACATGTTGAGGGGCAGATGTGTGTTTTATGTCTCTACGGTATCTTAAATGCTACATTAATTCTTGATTCCAGTTTATGATTTGTTCCTATTTTAGAGGCATTTTATTCTGCATCAAAGTCATTCAGACTACTGCCTTTAGTAATGATACAAATGAACTCCTTCCAAATGAAACAGCTTGTGTAACTGTAACACAAGGTCACATAAAACGTTCGACACAAGTATTTTCTTAGACAAAGCCTATGAGTCAATACCAAAGTTATGTGGTTCATTATACTTTCAAATGACCACATTCTCTTCCCATTTATCTTCATTACTGAGCACACCAGGCTGGCTATAGTGACAGCCTTTTTATCTTGCGCCCACTAAGTGTATGTGCAAGCACTTTGTTTTATTGTTTAAACTACGGCACTAAAAACAAGTTAGTGTTGAGTTGGGGCGGTGTCATTAAAGTGTTCCTGAAGGATTCGCTTTTCGTTCGGGTCCATCTGAATGTTGTTTTGCCTGGAATGTGTTATAATCAGTGTCGGGAGAATTCTTACAAATGTACAGTCCAGGATTTCAAGTTGCTACTTTAAGTACTTTTTTCAAGTGCGTTTAACTCCACGGCCTATTTAGTGATTGTGGCCAATGTATGTATTTGTATATTGTTAGAGCGCCGCCTAGGGTGAAACAAGGTATTGTGGACATATACTGTATCTGGTAATCCGTAATATTGGTAATCCCTAAAATATACACAAAAAGAACAACCAAACTCAAAGTTATTGTACGTAATGTTATTTTTAGATATGGCCGTATTGTAGATGTTTTTCCTTGTGCTCTTCGTATTTCCTTCCAGTCTCTATGTTATTATGGATGCAGTGGAGCAGCGGGGCAGAGATGTGGAATCCTGCCTATTTGTTGTGTGTATTGTAGCATGGGACACAAAAATATTCACCGATCGTCCGTCTCCTGCTTTATTCAGCTCTTGTAGCAGAAGTATACACCTCTGAATAGACAATGCAACACTGCTACATTTAGGTATTGACTATAACAACAAGACTTCTGAGATGACTATATGCATTTTATTGAACAAGACCACACTTAATTTTAGTCTGTTTTTTCATGACTTTTGAATGTGTTTTATATCATATTCATACTGAGCTACTGAAGCTACTAAAACTTCTATAATAGCTGTATTTTGGTCTTGATTTGTTCCTCCTTGTGTCATTTTATGATCGTTAAAGCTGGAGTACCTAACTTTGAAAATACACAAAGAACTATGTCACTAGTTCCTAGCTATTTCATTGGGTTTTACACGCATGTATTTTTGGCCTCTTTCACATTTTTGAATCAGCTTTTTCAAACAGAAAAGTGAAAAAGACAGGACCACAATCAAAAAATTATTATGTATAGAATTATGTAAAAGAGAAACAATGTTATTTATGACCCAACTACAACAAACGTATAGGAGTCCACTGTTTATTTCACAGTATAATGAGATTTACCAAGTTAAATATATGTAGAAGTCATTCAGAAAGGACTCTATAAGCGAAGAATGATCAGTGAATTGGTTAATTGAAAAATCGCATTAGAAAATCTCATCATTTATTCATGTTGTTTGCATACACCACATACTCACTGTGAAATAATCCAAAAAAAGCACTTCTGAAAGGGCTACAGTGAACGCTTTCTCACTGGCTTTAGTTGAGCACAAATGACAGGGACACACACAGACACGACAACACAACACACAGGTCACACAGTGTACCTTATCCCCGTCCTCGCAGTTCATGACATTGGAGAAGGGAATCTCAGCCTTGAACATCTTCCTGCAGTGCATAAGCTGCACTAGTAAGTAGCAGACAGTTTTGAACTTCATCTTTTTGGCGGGCTTTATGTCCGAAAGAATCAATCCAGGGAATATCTGTCACCGGATAGAAATGGGAACAAGGATTAAGTCATGATACCCCACACACGATGATATAGCATTATGTAAGGGTATAAGAAGTAGCCCTACACACTCTTGACTTTGCACAGATAGCACGGTACAAGCATGCAACGGCAAATGTTGAATAAGTAGAATAGCATGTCACCTATTTATAAATGCATTTTTCCCCTATTGCACAATTGTACAGCTGGGCATAAGGGCTACGACCTGGCCAGCCACAACAGCTATTTTCTATGCAAAAAATCCATTCCGGTAAAAAGTAATTGATAGTAATTTTGATCACATACTGTATAGGGCTGTAATTGTGATTATTGTTGATAGTTTATTAAGGTACACTTCTATATTAGGTGTATTAGGTTATTTGGTTCTTGTATACCAGACAATTATAAGATAGCAATGTCATTACCTAAACACCTAGATTTTGATAACTGAGTTTTGTTCCCAGGAGGTCAGTATATATGGGATTTTTTTATTTTTTTATTTGACCAAACCACAGCTCAAGTGATACCCCTGGAGTTCACCTTCATGGAGATGACCTGTGACACATTGGGTTATTTGAATAAAAAAAAAGCTTTCATTCTGCAGTCATTTAAGAATCAAAACAATATTTTGAGAAAAAGTGATGGGAGTAAATTAGTTTATACCCACTCCTTTTCAAATATGTGCTAAGAAATCATATTAAAATGCATTTTCTTTGTATACACATGCTTAAAATTAATATAAAAAATACAATATATAACCTCTTCTCTATTATGTTTAAGTCTATGTAAGGTTCACAAAACGATTCATCCAATTACTAAATTATTTGGATTTTATTTCATTTTAACTTGTCACAGTCCATATCACATACACAGTACATACATAAAATAGCCAATCATGAAATTTAAAAATCCCTGCATAAAGCCCGCCCACTTTGATCAAATGAATACTGGTTTGCAGCTGACCAGGCTCAGAAGCAAATATGCGTCATGATATTTTGCGGTCAAAAGGGCGAGGTTATAGAAGCAGCAACTTAAGCTTAGCGGTGTATTGCATGTGTAGGTTGAGCATGTGTGATATAGTCCCAAGGCAGGAATAATTAAAGCCACTAGTGAAGTGCGGAGCGGCCTATTCAGCTTAGCTTAGCTTCTCTGAGCCGTGCCTTTGATGAAGCCTAACCATCAGCGCCATTAAGAGGATTAGGACAGTCTTATCAAAAACACTGAGATGTTACAGGTTTTAACAAGGGTTACTTATATATACGGACTCGCTGTTGTTACGTAAGAGGAAGCTAAGGGAAAGCTCAGCGGCTGAGACTACACCCTGCAAAAAGTGATGAAAAATAAGTCCAAAATGGCTCAAATTTCAAATCAATTTTAGTACATTTTAACGGCCTTGAAACTGAAATTTGCCAATGGGACAAGCAAAATTATCTTGTAAAGAAATGTCTCCCTTGAAATGAGAAAATACAGTAACAGTTCTTGAAATATATGGCTTTGAACCATTGACAAATCTTGTTTTACGGCAGTCAGAATGTCCTCAAATTAAGATAAAAACCACTCAATTCAAGCAATTACAACCTCATATTTTATCATTTTTTGCAGTGTATATATACGGACTGGCTGTTACGTAAGAGGAAGCTAAGGGAAAGCTCAGCGGCGGAGACTACAGCCAGGCACAAGACTGAAATTCCCTTCCAGCTGCTGTGGCACATCTGTCCATTAGATGCATGCGGCACGCTGACATACGTGTGCTGCATCTGCGGATGTGTTCGACCGGACGCGTCTGATACGAGCCCTAAAGGGGAGTTCGTGTTTATTCTGTCTTCAAGCTTGGTTTCCAACAAGCCTGGAGGTGGCGATGCTCAGTGAAGAAGTTTTTCATGCTTAAAGAAGACGTATTATGTAAAATCGAGGGTTTTGTGTCTTGTTGCCTTGTGAGTGTTGTTTTACTTGAAAAGGCAAGTAATAATGTGTAGGAAACATTTTCTATTACTAATAAATTATGTTTCAGGTGCGAGTAACATAAGTGTGGTAAACATTACATCAATGGTTCTCAACTGGAGGGATATCAGGACCAAGATTCAAGAATTTTTTTTGTCATTTGCAGTAAAACCACATTGGAAAAACTGTGCAAGACTACCGTGTGCCTGAGATGGTACACCCCAGCGCTCCTGACAAGAAAAAAAATGCCAACCTGCAATTCCCAAATAAAAACTGGATTTAATACATAAATAATACATACAAATATTGTATAATGTTAATCTATAAGCATTAGAAAGAAAACTTTTAACACATTTAATGGATCATGGAAATAGATTTAAACACTACATCTTGAAATATGTTATAAATAGTTCATATGCAAATGATTAAGATTTTTTTTCTTAATATACTATATACTACTTTTTAATATATTATGAAATATATTTAATACATTTAATTTTTTTAAATTAGGGCATTTTTCTTTCAAGAAGATTATTGCTTCTTACAAGATTACTTTTTTGCTTGTTACTTACAACCTACATTTGTGTTTTCATCCACCAGTTGAGAACCACAGCATTACATCTCAATGAACCAAGGAGTAGGAAGAAGAAAAATCCTACCCGTCACTCAAATATACAGTTTGAAGTCTATACTGTCATAACATCCACATAAATCTTGTAAATAATATAACATTGTAAAAATTGATACACATTTTAAACATTTTCTAGTGCTCTTGTCTGACAGCTGTTTAGAAGAAAACATGTAATTTATCCCAAGAATTCATAACCAAAAGTCCTCTTCAATGGTTAGTAACATGCAGGTCTCAAAGGGTATGCATTAAATTATTAAATTATTAAATCATAAGGTCTCTACTGTCAGTTTATTGAAGTGAGCGTTCCAACAAACCTCATGATAAACCTAACCATGATTCCCAAAGAGAGGGCACAGTTGTAATGCGTACCTTCCGTCGATGAGATGGCACTATAAAAAAAGTCTCAATGTCATGTTTCTGGAGGAAGGCGTTTCGTTCGTGTCCGTTTCCTGGTTCCACCTCATAGTCTCCGTTCAGGCACTCCAGCGTGGTTTTGGTAATGTGGACTTTCCTATAACAAAACACCACATATAACTTAATACGGAACACTGTCTATACTGGCTTTGACACCCATGGATTATTCTTTTATAGTTCAACTGAGACCTCAAACGTAAAGGGACGGTAAGTAGTCTTTTAATGTGTCCTCAGAAAACAGGTCATATGTAAAATTGTATTGGACCTTTTCTGATGAACAGTTTAAAGTGGAGTTATCAAAAAAACACAATAGACATGAATTTATAATTTCTGCTAGAATTAATAAAATCAGACGATCAATCCATCACATGACGTCTATAATATCTATGTTTACAAGTTTCAATCAGATTATCCAATCAGAGAGCAGAATGCATTTCTTGTTTGTGTTGCCAGTTTGTGAGATGAAAAAGCTTGTTTTTGGCTCTATTGTTTTTCCTTTTTTTAAATGACAAAATTCACACTCAAAAAAATGTACCACACATAGGTAGTCATACATAGTTCACACCGTTTGTCCCATTTCTATCTAATCCCAGAAGGTGGATTTCATCAGTTACCAGTGCTAGGGAGTTACATGTGTTCCAAGATTCTGGCAACACATCATAATCTAGGGAGACGTGGCAAATTAGCGTTGGCAATGAATATTGTAGTGTTACACATGTTGATTATGTACACTTGTCCCTATCAAATAAATAAATGTATAGTTAAATAAATACATACATACATACATACATACATAAATATCCATCCTTACATACATATATACTTACATACATACATACATACATACATATATACATATATAAAAATCCATCCATCCATACATAGATATATACTTACATACATACATACATACTGTACATACATACTTACATAGTGTACATCCACACATACATACATACATACATACTTACATACATACTTACATACATACTTACATACATACTTACATACATACATACATACATACTTACATACATACTTACATACATACTTACATACATACATACATACATACATACATACATACTTACATACATACTTACATACATACAAACATACATACAAACATACATACATACATACACACTTACATACATACATACATACTTACATACATACTTACATACTTACATACATACTTACATACATACAAACATACATACAAGTTGGATTGTAATTGTGACGGCTTTAGGAGAAAGAACAGCTTGATTCAGGCCTTGTTCTGACAATGTTTGCATGTTGACATTATACTGATGAGTTTATCATAAAGTCAATACAGTAATATTATGGTGCATCTCTACTGAGTGGTCGAGATGGCAGTTCTGAGGAATAGGAGGAAATGGAGAAAATGCGGTTTATAAAGAGCTTTACAAATCCATTCTCGACGTCCACTATAATTGGAAGAGACTGAACATGTCAGTTGTGATGTGAGCACTGACCCCGGGAGTCCTCCTGCCTCCATCACGTTGGCCAGAGTGACGTCGTTGGACCACACGTCGTACTGCCACTTCCTGAGGCCCAGCACCCCGCACAGCACCCGGCCCGTGTGGAGACCCACCCGCATGTTCAGGTTCACCTCCGTGGCCTCTGCAACGGCCCTGTGCGGCACATACGCATTCACAATCAGATAACATTTATGGACTTTTATCAACATTTATGGACATTGGTCATCTGCCCCTTATGGACCAATGGCTCTATGTGTTTTGTTTACATCTTATTTCTTGTGTTTTATACTGTTTGATTCTCTGATCTGTGTTGGTGAATTCAACGGTTTTGTTAAGTCCTCTGAAATATCTACAGTAAAAGAATACATTTATTTATTTATTTATTCAAATTGTGGACATGACAATACATCACATACTTACAGTTACATTTCAAACAATTTTCGTCTTGTCACACAAAGGAACCGGAGCAGAAAGAAGAAAAAAATCTTACGTTGCCTGCCCCTTTCTTCAAACAATGTACAAATTAAAAAATATATAAGATGGACTTCAGTATTGTTTTTTATTCTATGTTATTTATTTTTTAATATATGGTTATTTTCTCATTTTTTTAATAATTCATTCATTTAACCTTGATCTGTGAAATGCACAATATAAATAAAGATGACTTAATAATTTACTTAATAAATGTGAACAGAGCCGGCTTAGTATCAGTCTGGTTATTAATCCAAGCCTAATAATGCTTCCTCTTCATTTTATTACCTGTGAACAGGAAGTCACAAACTTGGAATTAGGTGCGATAATAATTAATAAAAAATAGTAATAAATTAATAAAAGATAAAGGGCAAATATACACACAATATATGACATCTGTTCTGTATGACACTATGGCTGCTCAGAGGAGTAACCGTGGCAACAGGCTCCTCTCACTGCACTGCCGGACGGAACGTTTGAAAAAATCTGGGAATTCTGCCGGGACGTAAGACTGTACAACAGATCTGTCCACGCACTTTATTAATACTGTGGGTAACTTTTACATTTAATCATCAATCGATGTTTGCGTGGATGGATGTGTTTCGGCTGCTGGACACCTGAATGTCAATGAAGTATCTATCTATCCGGGTCGTAATACTTTCCAATCCACTTTAATTATATAGAACATTTAAACAAGTGTTGCACACAAGACCACAACAACATTACAACCAAAGCAGTTCTAATTAAAAACCATAAATACAAATTCTCGTTGTTCAGCCTGCTGCTGTCAGGCTGTACAACGAGAATGTACAACGAGAATATAGACATCTGTAAATACTTCTGAACCAAGTGCAATCATAGCCCCAGAGTTTATTTTATTTTATTCTTATTTTAATTATATAGTCTATTATCTTAAATAATAGACTCAATTTGATGTGTGCAATCTGAGTGCTCTTATTTCCTTCTTTCTCTGCTGTAATGTGCGCAACGATGACACTGAAATTTCCCCACTGCGAAACGAATAAAGGCTATCTTATCTTATCTAAAAACTCATTCAAAATGTAAAATAAATAAGAGCTATAACATGAATCAAACTGGGACCACACAACTCCCGCGGTGCTAAAAACCACAGAATCAAAATGATAGGTCAATTCAATTCAATTCAATGTATTTTTTGTAAAGCCCTAAATCATAACAGTAGTTATCTCGGAGAACTTTACAAAGTTGTCGATTCAAAACAGTTCGACCACAGGAAATGGAACTATAAAAAACTCATGGAGCCATTGGTCCATAAGGGGCAGATGACCAATGTCCATAAATGTTGATTAAAAGTCCTGGATCATTACTGCAGTCCTTCTACCCTACTGCGTCTTTATAAATGGTGAAATATCCAAAAAGTCTATATAACCATTTAGAATTACATTTTGAGGGGTTTCTTTAATGTTTTTTGTTGCATGGAATCAAACATTACACATTCTGCCTTGTCTGTTCTGCCTTCTGTTGATCTAAATGTCCTGTGTCAGATGGCATTAACAGCACACATGTTATTCCGGCAGCAGATTGTTCCCCTACAAAACATTCTCTGAAATAGTCTCCATTTTCATTTAAAACCTATAGAAACCAATCATAACATTAGTATGAAACCAAACTAAACCTGACTACTCACGTGATGGTATCGATCATGTCCAGTCCCATCTCCACACAGCAGTGGGCGTGGTCGGTTTTGGGTTGAGTCAGTCCAGAAACGCAGTAGTAACAGTCGCCCAAGATTTTAATCCTCCTGCAGTGGTTCTCCTGTAAAGAAAGACACATTTTTCTACGTTAATCGAGAGAACAAAGTAGCCGCGCGTGTGTGTATAGGCTAATTTGTCATTGATAAACAGAAGCCTGGCATTTAATTTCAGTTGATTTATTAAGTCACAGGATTCAATAGAGCATTATAAACAAGACCATTAATCCATGTTTTGCTTAACTTTAAGTCACCTCCGCAATATAGCAGCAGTACGCCCTGTTACATCTGTATTCTTTTTTTCTTATTTACTATTTTGGCATGTAATATATTGCAGATTAAGGACATACTGTGACATTGTTTTTATCTGTTATTAATAGCCAAACAACCCGCCCACTTTGCCTCCCTAACCAAGCATCTCAAGCCATTTACACGACAGTAAAGACTGAGTTTTGAAAGGATACCCCACTTGGCACACTTTCTTTTCTACGATAAAAGGATATGTAAATAGTGTTTGGATTTTTGCCTACAGCTAATATTCTTGGCAATACATTTTCTGAATGTGGCCGTGCTCATTACCCTCTTACACCGAGCTCTAACAATAAAGCATATTCCATGAAAAAATTATAATATACAGTATAATTTCAAAACTAAACCACACTGTATTGTGTAAAGCAGAATCCATAAACGACAACACAATTTATCGGGCTTCCAGCATTCTGAAAGTATAACATTTCCCAGTCAGTCAGATTCATCCATCCATCCATTTTCTTCTGCTTTATCGGTTGCCGGGTCGCGGGGACAGAAGTCCAAGCAGAGATGCTATAGACTTCCCTCTCCACCCTCACTTCCTCCAGCTCATCCGGGGGAATCCTGAGGCATTCCCAGGCCAGCTGAGAGACAAAGTCCCTCCAGCGGGTCCTGGGTCTTCCCCTGAGTCTCCACCTGGCGGGACGTGCCTGGAACACCTCCCCAGGGAAGCAAACAGATACAAAACAGATGCCAGGGCCACCTCAACTGGTTCCTCAAATCAAAGTAAATCAAACGAGACTATCTCAGAAAGAGATTGCTAACCAGGAAATGCAAAATTGCCACATTGAAAAGTTTTTCCACCTGTCTTTCTTTTGTTATTCTCTCTGTTAAAAACCAGACCAAAGTCTCAAAGTCTCTCTACAGCTATCACCCAACAAAAAAAGAAAAGAAAATAGGACCGTTCTCGGCTCTCTCTCTTTTCCCTTTCCTCAACCCTCTGCTTTCTGGACTAAAGCACCGGACAGTGAAGTACAGAGGGCCTGGGTTTTGGAGAAGTTTGATCCCATCAGAGATTCCATTTCAATAACAGACTTTGCTAAGTGCAGTCTATTTTAGTGTAATGTGTCGTATGCAATATGCCTTTGTCCTCATGTGTATGTCAAACCAGCTTTGTGCCTGTGCGGAGAAGAATTTCTTTTTGGGGACAATAGTCTGAAAAGCACATTGAAATGAAAGGAGCAGACAAAAGTATCTGCTGTCGTCTTCTACTGTTGAGACACACTATTGTGCCTTCTGTGAATATGGATCCTGTTTGATCATTAGTCTGTGTAATAATGACGGTTTGTTGAACAGAAATGTCTTAGCATTTTTGTACTTATGATATTATTTACATGTGCTTAATTGTTTACATAGATTTCATTGTTTTGCCTTAATTTTCAATGATAATACTTTTTTTCTCATTATCAGGTTGTAGGAAGCTATTTATCGTCAAATTAACATGGTTTTTTATTTTCAAAATATGTATGTAATTGAGCCGACTTGTGGAGAACTCAAAACGTAGTTCATACAAGGCGGTCCAGGAATTTACAGGAACTAGCAGCGTTAATCCAAGAAGAATGAGCAGCTTTAATCATCAGAGAAGTTTGAGAACCGCATCCACAACTCCACATAAGACTCCGAGCTGTCATAGATGTGTTAAACTTCTAAACAGGGTCACTCGTGTAGTTTCTGTTGTCGCTATAAATAGAAAAGATGCTTATTCAACAAAAAATTGGCTTCACCCAAATGCTAATAGCTAAAAAAAAAACAAAAACAATTTTTTTTTAATATTGTAATATATTGTAATATTGAACAAAAAACTCAAAATCATCTTTCATCCTAGCATACGCCACATTCTTCAAAGTGCAGGAGAAAATCAGCGGCTTATTGACCGGAATTTACGGTAAGTAAGCCCTGGCACTCAAAAATTATCGGCCCATTTCAAATCTGCCTTTCATGGGAAAAATTCTAGAAAAAGTTGCCTATAAACAACTTACAGAATTTTTAATAATCAATAACGCTTATGATATGTTCCAGTCAGGGTTTAGACCCCACCACAGCACTGAGACCGCGCTAATAAAGGTAACAAATGACATCAAACTAAACACTGACGCAGGAAAAGTCTCAGTCCTTTTTCTGTTAGATTTAAGTGCTGCTTTTGACACTATTGATCATGGCATCCTCATTCAGAGACTTGAGGACTGGGTTGGTGTTGCTGGCACCGCCCTAAGCTGGTTTAGGTCCTATTTACAAGACAGAAAGTTTTTTGTGGAGATCGAAAACTGTACCTCAGACCACTTGGCCCTGACCTGCGGAGTGCCACAGGGGTCAATCCTGGGTCCTCTTCTGTTTAATATTTACATGTTGCCTCTAGGTCAGTTGATTCACAGTAATAATGTCTCTTATCACAATTACGCTGACGATACTCAGGTCTATGTGTCCCTGACAGCAGGAGAGCATGAACCAGTGGACTCGCTCCTTCACTGTGTCCAGCAAATCGGTGATTGGATGCAAAATAACTTTCTCCAACTAAACACCGACAAAACTGAAATAATTGTTTTCGGACCCCAGAAACAAAGAGAGAGCGTTATTTGTCACCTCCAGGCTCTCTCTCTACAACCCTCAAATCAGGTCAGAAATCTAGGAGTTGATAATGGACTCAGACTTAAATTTCAAAAGCCACATAAAATCTGTAACATCAGCAGCTTATTACCACCTAAAAAACATTGCTAAAATTAAAAACATAGTGTCTAAGGCAGACTTGGAGACTCTTATACACGCTTTTGTCTCCAGTCGGTTAGACTATTGCAATGGCCTGCTCACAGGTCTGTCCAAACAGGCTGTAAAACAGCTGCAGTACATTCAACATGCAGCAGCTCGAGTCCTGACCAGAACTAGGAAGTACGACCACATTAGTCCAGTTCTCAGGTCTCTGCACTGGCTTCCTGTTCCTCAGAGAATAGACTTCAAAGCAGCTTTACTTGTGTACAAGTCTCTCCATGGTCTCGCGCCAAGGTACATCCATGACATGTTTGTGCCATATGAACCGACCCGGACTCTGAGGAGCACAGGGACTGGACTCCTGTTAGTGCCCAGAGTCGGTACTAGACATGGGCAAACTGCATTTCAGATTCATGCGGCTAGAGTCTGGAACCGTCTTCCTGAGAATGTGAGACAGGCGTCTACTCTGGCATCTTTTAAATCTAGGCTCAAAACAATTCTGTTTAGCTGCGCATATACAACTGAATGATTTTATCTTTTCATCTTTGTTTTTATCTTTAATCTTTTTAATGCACTGTGACTATTTATGATTTTAGTCCCATCTGTGATTTTAATGTTTAAAGGTTTTTAATTTTTGTGATTTTATTTTTAATGTTTTTAATATATCTTGTGCTCTTAATGTGTTTGATTTATGCATGATGTGATAGGGGATGTGAAGCGCTTTGCGTTGCCTTGTGTAGGAAAGGCGCTCTACAAATAAACGTTGATTGATTGATTGATAAGCCCCGGTGTACAAACTGTATATGGAAAAAAATAGTTTCATTTTTACTATTGGCCTCTGGAAAGATGCTCCATGTTTGTCGCCTCATCCACAGTGTCTCCTCCAGTCTCCAGACTCTGATCGCTCTCACTTTCGGCTCCCGAGTGGTTTAACACAACACAATTCGACGGGCCAAAAAAACACGCTCACAAATAGAAACCATTATGAGAGGCTATGAGCAACACATTCATTTCACCAAGGAGATGCGCTTTAGTACGGACATCGTCTCATCGGCCTTTTCGGTTTCTATGGAGGTAATAGGATCACTGGCCATGCATGTGAGGAACACAAAGACTCATAATTATACACGTCGTGGGCTCAAGACAAGATGGATGCTCTATTTTTACCGAGGGAGGCCTGGGAGTGAGCAGGAGCATATCACTACACAATGCCCGGCACGTTCTATCTGCGGCCTGCAGCGTGGAGCAGACCTAGGCAACGTGCGGCCCGAGAGCTACATTCGGCCTGATTTACATGTCCATGTGGCCCTTAGACTGTTCTTGCGGCACGGTGGCTGAGAGGTCCTGGTTCTCAGCAAAAAGGACCTGGGTTTGAATCCTAGTCGGAATATGGCCTTTCTAAGTCGAGGTTACATGTTCTCCCCGTGTCTACGTAGGTTTCCTCTTGGTGCTCCGGTTTCCCCTATACCACTAAGAACATGTCCAATAGGTCTGAATGAAATGAGTGATTGAATGGGGCTTTGATGCGCCTGTGTGTGTCTCGCTTCCGTCATCACCGTGTGGAGAGAATGGAAAATTATCTGATTTCGGAACAATGTAAAGCGCTTAGGGTGAACTTTTTCTGCAAATTTGGCTATATATTGTAAATAAACATTACTTACTTACTTACTTCACAGAAATTCATAGGGACTAATTGCTTTTTTAAATGAATCAGGAGTTAATACTCAATGAAAGCTTGTAACTTAATATGTGCTACTCTGGCATATTATGCATTTATTCTGAGTAAGGAACTCAAAATTAGAATAGATATGATTCAAGTTTCTTGTTATTACAAAGTAGTAGTAGTAGTGTCATTTATGAATTAAATTTAAAATAGAGAAGAAGAAGGTTACCTACTGATTTGTCTATATCCCAGTAATACCCTTTGTGGATCATACAGTATAGAATGAATTAACCCGAGATCAAATCCACACTTAGAGAACAGAGCTATAAATAGTGCTGACATCCAAACTCATTCCCAGATCACACTTACATAGAAATTGGTCTTAAGCCC